ATCCATGGCGGGATCGTAGTTTTGATCCACAGATACGCTTCAGATATGCTCCAAAAAAAGGAGTTTTTCTTTTAAAAAATAAAATACTCAGGGACCCTGAGTGAATATGTCAATATGTTTGATATACATAGATTTACATATATATGTATACGATGATAATCAATATATATATATATATACATATTTGAAAAAATCCAGCATAGTTCAATATGTTCATGTTTCTGTGACAAGTATGTATGTATACAGGAGCCCATCCATGATGGCATGTGTTTAATACAATAATATGTGGTGGTATCTCCTGCAACCATACCCATTCTATACATCGCATCCATTGCCCAACATCCTGGTGGTCCCACATAAAGGGAGATTCGTGTCAGGATTTATCGGGGGATGAGACTATTCCAAGATTCATAACTTACCCACACTCGTTTGGCATGACCCCCATCTCACAAATGCAGGTCATAGATTATCACAGATGAATATGCCTGGCTGGTGGTTCATGATTTATAATCAATGAGGCGTTATCATGTTCAGCCTACACATTGAAGAACACCTTATATACATTGAAGAACTTATTATTTTGGGGGTTTCCTGAAATAGGGGTACCCATTTTTTTTGTTTTTTTTTCGCCTTTGACTTTAGTGCTGTGTGACAGCGGTAGAGACAACCAGCTACGCGTGAAATCCCCACCAGTGATTGTGATCATTAATTAAAAAACACAAACAAATCAAACAAAAAACAACAAATTCAGGGGTGACGACGAGACACACCATGGGACAGTCGAATGCACGGATGCAAAAAAAAATGATGGTTTATAAATGTTTATAATGGAACATACCATTAAAACGGATGATTTGGGGGTACCCCCATTTTAGGAAACCTCCATTTGATTGGGATTCCCCAATGCTCAGGACCCGTGTGGGAGAAGCCCTGGTGAGGGTGGCCCAGGGTAGAACAGGGTCGTTTTTTGATGAATCCAAGATGGGCTTAGGGTTTGTAGTTGTTCAAGATGAACATTATAGAAACCAAGATGAATCTGTTTAGATTGAGTATTGTTTATCCTTTGTTAAGTTTTTTTTCTTCAGCCGAACTGAACTGGGGTCAAAACAAGACATCCAAGAACAATTTGTAGATTAAATCTCCAGTTTGTGGATATACGCATCATGTTCAGTTTTAGGATGCACAGAAGAGGACAAGGGCTTTGATTGGTGTACAGGCTGTCCTGACACGCACCAACATTCTACAACGTTTTGATACATGTTGCATGGTCGGTCAGTCGGTCAAGTCCGCATATAATATAAAATATGTATCATCATGTATTATGGACTGTATGTATATATATATAATGTACTATAAACATGTACACTGTGTTTATATATACATATTGTATATTTTGGTTGTATAATATGTTTTGTATATATATATATGTGGTTGGTTTACATCTATATCTACTTTTCACACGTGACTCAAACGTTGTGAGCGAATCCTCAGGATTCAAATCTCTACAGACTCTTACAGGAAGGTTGATTGGTTATATATATATAGGTTATTTTTTGTGTTTTTTCACAGATCTTTTTAAACATTACTCACGTATTTTTTTAACGATCTGACAGTGTCGTCAATGTAAATGTTGGTTAGTATGGGGTCATTGTCCTAAAGTGTGCGGTACTAAGTTTACTACAGGTATTGTCTTATAGTTATTTTAATATGTATATATATATATATCCCCATATTAAATCACAGAAATATATAGATATAAATGATATAAATAGCAGGTACCGTCTTCATATTTACGCTTAGTCAAAAATTCCAGGCGGTCGTCGGACAGCCCATGTTTGGTGCCGTGTTGGATCCAGCACCATTTTTGTTTGAACAGTGATGGTTGTTTTTTGGTCGTCAAAACCTAATGGTTGTTAGTTTCTCGTCTTTTAAGGTTAGTCAGCATATGTCAACATACCCACTTTTTGGTTCCATTTCATTCGATGATTTTTCCAGCTTTTTTTTTCTCCATTTATGAGAGATTTCACTGCTTTGTTTTTTGGTTGATGAAATCTATGAATCTATTTTTAGAGTAAACAAATTGCCGTGTCCAACAGTGATTCCCCACCCGATCACCGAGGATCGTCTCTTCCAAGTTCTTCGGGAAAGTTCGACGCGCTTCACGTCCATCGATGAGGCAGCACTGCCATGGAACATAACTTGATATAACCTATCGAATCTCATCTGAGCAGTGTTCAAAACATTTCAAATCCCCTGATGGTTGATTGTTGAAGGGGATTTTATTAATTAATCAATAATTATACATACGTATATATATATATATATATACATGTTTACATATATATATAGTATTCCACCAAAGTTTTTTGACCACTGCTCATTTGAATATTCAGAATGTAAACATTCCAGCTGGATTTCAGAAGCATCACCGGTATCCACCGGTAGGCCACCTGGAATCAGCGTATCCGTTTGTCCAAGTCCAATCGCCAAGTTCTGCCTGTCTCTTGGAGAGAATTTATGGGACGGAAAACGCACTGAACCTTAAGTTTTTATGGCTTAATAGTACAATAATTAAACATGGGTTTTAGTTTTAGTAGTTCATCATGCTTAATTAAACACTAACATAAGGGATGCTTAAAAAAATAGTCATTCAGAATAGTTTTTTTTGGTTAAGCATCCCAGCGAGTTCATCCATTTGTTTGGGGTTATATGCCTTAATGTAATGTAGTGTAATGGTATGGTATGGTATGGTATGGTATGTATGTATAGATCTACAAGTGGGAACACAACAACCATCAAATAACCATCAGATTTATGGTCAGATCTCCGAACTAAACGGAGATTTTGTTCGCTGGGAAACATCTTGATTTTTTTTTCCCAGTACACCATGATTCATTGCCGGAGCGTATTCTCAGGAACATATATGATGTTGCAGGTCATTGGATTTCATGTTTTTTTTGCTATGTTCAGGCGAAGGAGCTGGCAGTACCTGGCGACCTGTGACATTGCTGGTGTTTAGCATGTTTCCTACAGGTTCAACACCGTTCAACACTATCTTAAGTCATTTATGACCACATTTAATGACACGATTTATGAAACCATTTCCATATCAAACCATGTGAAACATTCCACTTGTTTTCATGATATTGCATGGGAGGTTGATGTTGATTCAATCCACGCCATAGGGCAACAACTTGATGCTGGGATCGGCCCATAGTCCCGGAATCGCTTCGTGTTTTTGCAGATTTCCCAGAATCAGTTGAAGGGAAATGGGGTTTTCCTCTAGATTTCCCCCCCCCCAAAAAAAACATCGATGGTTTTTTTGTTATAAATGATTGGGCTTGGATGATTCGGATTGCCTTTCACACCTAATTTAGGGTGTGGTTCAAGCTCAAAGCCCTCGGAGACATCCATTAAGAGATAAGTGACTGGAGAGCCAGTGTTAAACTTCGATGACGAACACCATTTCCAAGAACATCTCTATACCACTTGTTGGCTTATCGAACACACCGAAACCGAGGCCTCAGGGCCGCCTCGGTGCTGCAAATAGCGAAGGCCAATATATATAAATCCAAGCCACTAATAAGCTACAAATATAGTCGTGGGACAACTCCTGAATACTCCTAAATCTATCCAAGATATCCAAGCCTATAAGTCTACTGATAGGATGTAATAGGTATGTTTAGATGTCAGGACTTTTCAAGACTTTTCAGTGGCAGTTCAGGTGCACCAAGAGTCCAAGAGAAAAAGTCGACAGGCGCAGCGGCGCAGCTGTTGCGCTCGAGCGAAGTTGCAGGGCTTGTAGACTTCGAAGACTTCGTTTTTGGGAACAAAAAGTAGAGGAAAATAATGTAAACAAAATATAGCTTGGAACAGTATAGCTTCACAGCTATGTAGAGGACATGTAGGAAAATAGCTTGAAGATGCTTGAAGTGATGCGGTTTCATGGCCTTTTACTCGAGAAACAATATCTTTGAAGATTGAAAAATTGGGTATATTGAACCAAGGTAGATTGCTAGACAGTCGGTTTGGTGGCCAGCAACCAAATGCAATATGGGTGAAATTTTACACCATTTTAATTGATGGTGTCCTTCACATGTTCAAACATCAACTATAAACTTGGTATAGTAAATGTGTACTAATTGTTGGTAAAACATGGTAAAACAATAATAAACCATCCCCCAGTCATCACCGTTTTTTATAGGTGGTATGTTTACCATTCCCAGTCATGGGTGGTAGAAATGTCATTGTTTTACCCACATTACCCCTCAAATCATCCATTCTTTGTTTTTTTTCCATCATAAACCATCCATTTTGGCATAGTAAATGGCCATAAAAAATGAATCCATTGGATAAATAAACCATCCATTGGTATAAACCATTATAAATGGATTCATTTAAAAATAAATGCTACTCATTATAAATGGGTTCTCATTTTGCTACTCATAAAACCATCCATTTTGGTCTAAACCAATGGTATACCAACTCGATCTGCAAAAAGGGCGATGAGTTGTTCACCCTCTTCGAACCTTTCCTGAACATCCAGGAGGCACCGTTTTTCGGAGAAAGCAGCCGTTTTCGAATCCTGAGATGAAACCAACCGTTGAGGAACCAGAGTAGTATGTAAGTTATATAAAAGTGTAATGTACTAGTTCCAATTAATATATATATACATATGTGATTTTACAAGCATTCTTGTGTTGGTAGGATCCATTACATTTTTGTTTGATCAAAATAGGTCCAACAAGAATTCTGCCAAGCTTTGATTTTCTGCGCCATCCAATTCCAGGTGTTTCCCCACATTCTCAGACAAAAAACAAAACAAAGATCGCCTTGTTCCCATTCGCATCTTCCAACATCTTCCAACCAAACTGGACCGAACTCTGTTCTAAGCCATCCAAAACCCCAGGTCTTTCCATAGTTTTTCCCATGGCTTTTCCCATGGCTTTTCCTCCCATCCCCGAAAGGGGCCTGTCGGTAGGTGCGCCTGGCGGCAGAGCGCAAGGAGCGCGAGGAGGAGCTGCGGAGGCGCCAGGCGGAGGAAGAGAAGCGGCGGCGCGCCTCGGCGTTGACGGTCGGTTTTCCATGGGAATATCATGGATATGAGGTGGATTGTTCATGATTAATTAGTATGATATGGCAATGATGGATATATATCTATATATATTATCATATATATATAATGTATATATAATTATATATATACAGATATGGATATAGTTGTGAGTTATGATGGATAATAATGATAATAAGTATGAATCAATGGAGATGGACCATGGGAATTTCATGGATGGACCAATGGATGGTCTTTTCAGATTTTTTTGGGAGATTTCAGCTACAAGACTTGCGATTTAATGGACATTTATACAATGGATAATTGGTTGGTGGTTTGGAACATCTATTTTTCCATATAGGAACGTCATAATCCCAACTGACGAAGTTATATTTTTCAGAGGGGTAGGTCAACCACCAACCAGATCATGTTGTAAACCCAACGCCATCAACCGTGCCTTTTCCACGAACCATGACTAGAGTTATGTGAACAAAAATCATCCCATGGCGAAGGGCTATGCGGCATACCCGATTTCGTAAACCTTATTGAATCGTTTGTTATTGCATTTGCCACATATGGGTATGAATCAATACCTATTAATAGCATTTTTAGGGGGATGAACATCCATTTACCAGCTATTTTGATGTGAACTACAGGGGTACAAGGTTTTGACACACTGCCATATACGGGGATGGTACTTGAAGACTTGGTGCTTCATTACGATTCAGCAGATAATGGGTATTCTGTTGCTGTATGGGCGTTATATTTATCAATAACTATTACATAGTAGTCAATAATATAGGGATAGCAATGGGGATTCAACGACTATCAATGCCAACAAATTTCTTAAGTTAGTTGATAGGTTAAGTGTAATTATCAACAATAAAGCGTGGGATTTTCTTTTTCCAACCAGTAAGTATTAACCAATCCGCATTCAATGCATATACAACGGATACAAGGGACATTGGGTGAAGTTTGATGGGGTTTAAACCATCAATAGTGGAATTATAATGGTATGATAAATGATCATAACATAAGTTTACCAGCGGGGAGTATGGTGAGGACAACAGGGATGGTACATGGGGATATGTCATGGGTACAATATGTCATGGGTACAACTTGGTTATAGGTTGGTTCTGATCCAGTTGCGAACTGGGATGCGCCCCCAATTAAGGGCTGAAAAAAAAAACATGGAATGCTCAACTATGCGGCAGTAGCCCTGGAAGCTTGAAACATGATTTTCCGTGGCCTCCAGTAGCTCAACATAGCTATGGAAAATGGCCCATCTATGTATGATTTGCCTATAAAAAGCAACGAGTGTTCGTAGCTATGTTAAATTACCAGATGGTATACTATGTATATAATTATATATGTATACATATATACATATATATATATACATATATATATACAGATATGCTTAGTGAGTTCTGCGATGCAGTTCTTGAACATCTTCTTTGGTTGGATCGATGGACTGCCTTCCCATTCTGAGGAAAGGAGGAAGAAGCGCGCCGGAAGCAAGAGGAAAGGCGGCGAAAGGAAGAAGAGAAGCGACGCTGGGTGGCATGGGGCCATTTACTTCAAGTTCTGGTTTATTGTTTTTGGTCGTACAGGTTGGTTTACCGCAAATACAAGTTGCATGTGGTACTGAGTTGTTTCTAGAAACAGCCTGTACGAATGCTTCCGAAGGTATCCTATAAACCAAGGACAGCAGCGATACTTGGAACAACAGCAGAGAGAAGCAGAACGTCGTGCTGCCAAAGGAAAAGGCAAAGATGTTTTCAGCGTTGCTCCAAGCGGTGAATGTGTAGTTGTAAGCGAGATGCAATATGAGTTCTATGTGGGGTCATCATTCAAGCCTTTGCAGGCCAAAGATCTTGGTTGTGTTGATCCTCTGGTAAACTTACATAGCTAGGGAGAATCACGATTTTATCCGTGGTGACTGAGCCACTTCTCAAAACACTCAAGGTTGCAACGTGGGATGATAGACACATTCTAACCTTCGGTGTGGGCAATATCTCTTGTGAGGCAAAGGAAAGGATGATGGCAAGGGCAAAGGCAAAAAGGGCCGGCAGACGCAGACAGTTCAAACCCAACAGCCACAGCGCCAGCAGCGTCAAGAGCGTCAAGAGCGGCAAGAGCGGCAAGAGCGGCAAGAGCGGCAAGAGCGGCAAGAGCGGCAAGCGCAACCCAAGCGAGGAGCAAAGAGAGGCGCTGGAAGGGATTTCTTTGCTGCTTTAAGAGTCATGGTTGTGTATGTATCTATGCAATATTATATATATATATTATACATACATAATTATATACATATAATGTATCTACATATATAAAAGTACGAGAACTGGAATTGGTGACTATGAATGTGTCCTGCATCGCCGCAAATGATGCTGGTGCCAAATATGTGGCCATACTATATCCTACTCATCTATGGCACATGCAATACTACAAAGACACTGTATAGTTATATATATATAGTAATTCAAGTAGGTCGATAGGCGTAATTATCGCGGACCCCAATCCACACGCTTTTACATTGATGGTGCGAGCAGTGGAACCAGGAGAGGCTGCGAGTGGAACCGTGGATCCCCATACCTCTGTGCTGCAGCAGGCGGGTTCCCATGCCTGGGGCATCTGAGATGAGCACGTTTCGCGGATGTTTTCTGGAGGTCTCTAAGCAAATCCAAGTAGACTTCAACGATACGTATTACAGATATTACAGTCACAAAAACATGGTTCAACCAGCAAAATATTGGGAATTCGCCATCAAAGTATGGATGTTTACCAAGTGGTTTGGGTCATCACGACGTCACTGTACAGTCTCCTTTGTTTACAAAGAAGTTCAATATTATTTATGATAATGGATTATGGAAATCCCAGATGCCAATCAATGAATGTTTCTGGATATCCAACAATTCAGCTTGTCGGCAGCTCACATGGATTTCCTGGCAGATCAGTTCAGATTCAACCAGCAGCGCATCCCAGCACCGCATGTCCTGATTCAATTATATCTGGATTATATATCAGTATTCACCTCCTCAGGTATGTGTATATTCACATGAATGGATTATTTAAAAAAAAAAAAACATGAAAAAACAATTGGGTTACATGCATGGATTATAGATTATATTTATATTAATGACATATCTATTTGTCATTGGGTGCGGGTGTCCTGTGGGGCTGTTTGAAACAGCGAACCCCACATACATTTTTTTTTGTTTATCTATGTGAAAGTTATGTACATATGTGTAGTGTGTACATATATATAATATCATGTAATATTATACATTGTCATTTTATAACTTATCACATAAAAAAAAACACAATATGTGAATATATATATATAGATGACAATCATATAGTAACATGTGTGATATGTATATATATATATGTACATTACAATTTAAAGAATCGTGTATTCCCAACGAACTGAAATTCCGGCTGACCGCACTGGCCGGCTTCACCACAAATAATGGTGGTAGTTAGGGGTGTCATCCCAAGAAAAGGTTTATTTCTAATATTTCTACTTGATAGACAATATAGATTGCCAAATTGTGGCGACATGCTCTTTTCTTTTGTTTGTGTTTTGTTTGTTCAGCATGTTACAAACAGGTCTTCATGCGTTACATTACTGTTTCCTACCTTAGCTCCCCAAAAATCCTTGACGCTGTCTCCATGTCGCTGGGTAAATCATAGTATCCTCAAAAGTGATGCTTTGCAAGGGGAAAGCACTACAGAGTAGCCGTATCTCATTTTATGTTGTTTCCGGCTAGCATGAATTCCGAATTTGATTTTCCCAGATTTGGGTTCCATCCAATGACCGGTGGTTTCAAACATTTTACGCGCATATAAGTACATATATATATATGCACATTCACGTGTTCTCCAGAGACTTTCCTACTCTTTAAGAGGATGGCTCAACCCACAAAATAGATCACCTCTATGGTTAAGACTTCGGATTTGTGGTAAAGCTTGGGGGCCCTTGAAATATTTTTATTCTTTCTGAATTTTGATTTTGAGTTGATTCTCAAAATTGATTTCCACCATTGCTGTGGCTGGATTTGGAAGAACTTTCAAAGTTGTACTTGTACAATTGATCTGGAAGTGATTCCAAAATTGAATCTGGCTCTGGGATAATTTGGGGTAGTTTCATGTTAGAATTTATGTTCTGCTTGTTGTACATTGGCCTGTGCAGTTGATGGTTGTTATCTGTTTATGGGATGTTACGCCCACCACCGTCGGGTAACTGTGATTCAATGTGTCCTTGAGTGGGGCTGCCTCTCCTTGATATTTCTTCCTATGACCTTCCCGTTTTTTCTGCATATGGTGTGACTTTGGTGTGGGATGTGATTGGCCACTGACGTAATGAAATGTGAACTGAATGACCATCAGTATTCTGTAAATAGATAAATATGTATATATATATTTATTCATTTATAAGTATATAAACTGATCTGAATCTATCTATTTGGCTACGGCCAAGGATAAGTACTAAGGCTGAGAGCCGACCAATTTTTAAATCAATATCTGTGGACACCAGTGTTGAAAACAATATTGAATCAATTTTGCTTGAGAGGCCCATTTCTAAAATCAATTCAAAATCAATTTTAAACCAATCCTTTTGGAACCTCAAAGCGCTTTCTCAAAAAAATGATTTTAAATTGATTTTGGTTCAAAAACCAAGTGAAAATCAATTATTTTACAGGAAAAACGTGTGTAAAATTGATTTTTGCTAGAAAAACTGAAGAAAACAATGTGTTTTCATGGAAAAACATCGTTTTTTAAAGAGCACACTAAGCCAACCCCGAAGAAAACACAGTAAAATTTGTTTAAAAACAAGCCAAAAACCAATCTAAAATCAATTTTTCCATGCTTTTGGAGCTAAAAAACAATTTAAAATTGATTTTAAATCAATTTTTCCATGCTTTTGGAGCCAAAAATCCATTTAAAATTATTTGAAAATTGATTTCAAATCAATTTTCCCATGCTTTTGGAACCAAAAATCAAGTCAAAATTGATTTAAAATCAATTTTTCCATGCTTTTGGAGCCAAAACACAATTTAAAATTGATTTTAAATAAATTTTTCCATGCTTTTGGAGCCAAAAATCAATTTAAAATTGATTTAAAATCAATTTTCCTATGCTTTTGGAGCCAAAAATCAATTTAAAATTGATTCTAAATCAATTTTTCCATGCTTTTGGCGCCAAAAATCAATTTAAAATTGGTTTAAAATTGGTTTAAAATCAATTTTTCCATGCTTTTGGAGCCAAAAATCAATTTAAAATTGATTTAAAATATTTTTTTCCTTGCTTTTGGCGCCAAAAATCAATTTAAAATTGATTTTAAATCAAGTTTTCCATGCTTTTGGAGCCAAAAATCAATTTAAAATTGATTTAAAATTGATTTAAACTATTTTTTTCCTTGCTTTTGGCGCCAAAAATCAATTTAAAATTGATTTAAAATTGATTTAAAATCATTTTTTCCATGTTTTTGGCGCCAAAAATCAATTTAAAATTAATTTAAAATCAATTTTTCCATGCTTTTGGCGCCAAAAATCAATTTAAAATTGATTTAAAATCAATTTTTCCATGCTTTTGGCGCCAAAAATAAATTTAAAATTGATTTAAAATTGGTTTAAAATCATTTTTTCCATGCTTTTGGAGCCAAAAATCAATTTAAAATTGATTTTAAATCAATGTTTCCATGCTTTTGGCGCCAAAAATCAATTTAACATTGATTTAAAATTGATTTAAAATCAATTTTTCCATGCTTTTGGCGCCAAAAATCGATTTAAAATTGATTTAAAATCAATTTTTCTATGCTTTTGGCGCCAAAAATCAATTTAAAATTGATTTTAAATCAATTTTTCCATGCTTTTGGAGCCAAAAATCAATTTAAAATTGATTTAAAGTCAATTTTTCCAAGCTTTTGGAGCCAAAAATCAATTTAAAATTGATTTAAAACTAATTTTAAATCAATATTTCCATGCTTTTGGCGCCAAAAATCAATTTAAAATTGATTTAAAATTGATTTAAAATTAATTTTCCCATGCTTTTGGAGCCAAAATTCAATTTAAAATTGATTTAAAATCAATTTTTCCATGCTTTTGGCGCCAAAAATCAATTTAGAATTGATTTAAAATTGATTTTAAATCAATTTTTCCATGCTTTTGACGCCAAAAATCAATTTAAAATTGATTTTAAATCAATGGTTCCATGCTTTTGGCGCCAAAAATCAATTTTAAATTGATTTAAAATTGATCTAAAATCAATTTTTCCATGCTTTTGGCGCCAAAAATCAATTTAAAATTGATTTAAAATTGATTTATAATCAATTTTTCTATGCTTTTGGCGCCAAAAATCATTTAAAATTGATTTAAAATCATTTTTTCCATGCTTTTGGAGCCAAAAATCAATTTAAAATTGATTTAAAATCAATTTTCCTATGCTTTTGGCGCCAAAAATCAATTTTAAATTGATTCTAAATCAATTTTTCCATGCTTTTGGAGCCAAAAATCAATTTAAAATTGATTTAAAATCAATTTTTCCATGCTTTTGGCGCCAAAAATCAATTTAAAATTGATTTTTCCATGCTTTTTGAGCCAAAAACCAATTTAAAATTGATTTCCATGCTTTTGAGGTCCAGCAGTGCACACTGAGGTAGAAAGGTCCCAGGTTGAAGTCCAGCGGTGCACACTGAGCTGGGCAGGTCCCAGGTTGAGGTCCACCAGTGCCCACTGAGCTGGGAAGGTCCCAGGTTGAGGTCCAGCGGTGCCCACTGAGCTGGGAAGGTCCCAGGTTGAGGTCCAGCGGTGCACACTGAGCTCGGACGTTGGCGAAGAGCTTGGCGAAGAGTTGGCAAGGCAACAGTGGACGTGGAAGTGGAGGCAGAGGTGGTGGAGGAGAGGCTGGCGGAGGAGGAGCAGGAGGAGCAGGAGGAGCAGGAGGAGGATAGCTAGCCGAGGAGGAGGAGGAAGAGAACAACTGTGATAAAATCTAACAACCCTCACCTGGCAGGTGGGGAAACAAGAAAATGCAGCCGCAAATCACAGATCAGCCCAAAATCAATTTGAAAATGCCAAGCATCCAAAAAACAATTCTTCAATCAATTCGGAAACAACTTTTGAAAAGACACCTGACATGTGCAGTCTAGCTTCCTGAAGTGTGTAATAAGAAACAATTTTTAAAAGCAATCGAGAACCAATGTAAAACCAATTTTAAATTATTTTAACCCACCATCAAGGATTACCACGTTCTAAAGTCTTAACTCTATGGTAAAGTCCCATTTTTCTCATCATTAAGAACCATGAATCACCATTAACCACTTGGTATTTAGTATTAACCATAATAATGGTTCATATTAACATTAGTAGCATCATGTAGCATCCATGCCCATCTTGCCCTCCAGCCTGTGATGGTCGATGGACTACCTCCACCCTGGGTTTGCGTGCCGGACCCGAAACTTGCGCAACCGGTTGCAGTGCTGGGTAAACACCGGGTGAAACAAGGCTGGTGTTAAAAATAGCATATAGCATTGTTGATTGGTTATGACAGGGGATTATGCTACATGATGCTACATGGGTTAATGGGGATTCATAGAATAAGCCATAGGATTCATAGGATTGGAAAACCGATGATGTTTCTCCTGTCGAGCCAGATTCATATTTTTCTGGCTTGTACGGATTGACATGAATAGATTGTGTTGTCTTAGTTGAATGGTCTCAGAAATTCTAGAGACATCTCCGGATATGACCACCGAACCTATTATATAACCAACCAGTGTTTCATGACATGGGATAGTGGTATGTTTAATTGCTCAGATGGATTTGTCTGAAAGGAGGGTACCCCATAATCAACTCGCTATTCATATTATATAATCATGTTGCAATTTTCCCTATAAAATGTGCTATTCATTGGGGCTACACCGTACATACCGTATACCCGATCTTGGGACGAATTCATATATGAATTGGACATCAGTTGGCCTTTTTTCTGTGTGCACAGAATAATACAATAATACATATACCATCAAATACAATAAATTAGTAATAATAGATAGATAGATATATAATGGTGATGTTTAGCCGACGAATTTGTGGTGCCCAGGTGAAAGTGGAGCAGTCATCAGGTCATCCATGGTTTCCCCGAGCGCCATTTTTTTTTGTTTGCTACGTGAGCTAGGGGGTTCCCCCAAAAAAAGCACCCTAAAATCTTCCAGCATCCATTTGGGTATGGGTCAATACCTATAGATACCATATTTTAGTGGGATGAACATCCATTTACCAGCTATTTTGGGGTTCACTAGGTACCAGGGTTTTGACCCATCCCCATTTTTCAACTGGAAAACTGGAAAACCCTTCGCAATGGTTCAGAAATTCGGCCCGCCGAGGAATAGTGGCCAGCATCTTGGCGGAATTTCCCCGTGACCATCTCTGCTGGGCATGTTTGGAACAAGATATCAGATATTGTAGATAAATCTATACATGTTCATCTTGTGTTTATACATATATATATAGTTATATATGTATCTACATACATTTACTATTGTTTGTTCTTATGTACACATACAAAACAACAAAAATTGCACAATGACGATGACTCCTCTGCCTATCTCCTTTCCCAGGTTGTACTATTGGAATCAAATGACCAACGAGACCACATGGCACCGGCCGGGATCGCAACCGCCCATGATGCCATTGCATCCGGGATTCCAACCGTTTTACTTCCCGCAGTGAGTGGCTGGTGGCCCAAAGGGCTGATGCTGGTGGCCCAAATCGTGGGCAAATCTTCCATTGGTCATGCTTTGATCTAGGTTTGCTGCCGAAAATGGCGGTGACATGTGCATGACTATGCTATTCTTGAAATGTCCTTAGGCTTCATCCGCTGGCTGATTGGGAGAAGCGATTCGGACGGTGTCTGAAAATGGGGCGGTATAGACCCCAGGATCTAATGGCACTTTAACGAGGGAAAATGCTGATTCGCCATCAAGGGGCAGCATTCTTTTAGACAAATCCATATTCGGCAGCCAAGGAAACCTCCCAGAATTGCCTTCGGCAAAAGCATACAAGACATCAAGACAAACTCCGACAACTCCCCCACTTCTCAGAAACATTTGGAAAAAATTGGGCCCATTGGTGATTATATTTGTGTAGTCATTATATACTAATATATAACAATACATATATATATACATATATATATATATATACATGCACATGTAACATATATATATACACACATGTAAATATGCATATCAATAATCATTGCATATTAACAATATATATATATACACATGTAAATATGCATATCAATAATCATTGCATATTAACAATATACATATATATATATATATTAACACTCATTATATCAGCAGTCATTTTATATTAACAATCATTATATATTCTGCGTACAAGTCATATAGTCATTATGTCATTATATGTACGAACAAGGTTTCTCTCCTGGTTTGCCAATGTGATGCAGCCACTCGCGTCATCGCGTCGCTTGGTTGTCTCCAGCGCGGAGTTCGACTGCAGCTGGTTGGTGTTTCCGACCATTGGCAGGACTTATCACCTTCCTTTCGATGGCCTGAACTATCCTGAAATAACAACACTAATGAATAGTTAAGGCAGGTATCTTACGGTTCGTGCTTAGTGGTTGTGAGATGTTGCGGTTAGTACTTTTAGCCTTTGCCATTTAAAGAACTTCAACCTCATTGTTTTACAGGGTAACAATTAATTGCTGACGTCACCACGAATTCATTGGAATTGTGTTTGCGTGGGAAACTATCACAAATTTGCAGAACCTTTCACATTGGTGAATGATTGTTGCTTCTTTGAAGGCGATAAATCAAGTTTCATTCAGCTGATAAGCACAGACAATTGCGCATAGTTTGAACCACCAATCAGTCAATTGTACATTGATTCTCTCTCACATCTCATATTCGGACCGCCGAGAGAAATAGGTGTTCCTGAAGTCATGCTGACAGGAACAGAGATTGAGGTGGGCTAATGACTGTGCTTTTTTTTTGAGACTTCAAAAATAAGTGGTGGACACTGGTGGTTTACACCAGATTGACCTGTGACATCCTGTGACCAACTGATGCTTGGTTGATGTGGGCATCAAATCGGAGATGAACAAGTAAAATGGTGTGCGTGAGATCCCCAAAGTGTTTTTGTTTGTTTCATCAAATTCGTTTAGGATCACACTAATCGTCGACCCTTGGGAATGGTACAATCAGATGAAATTCATATACCACGGTCTCAAGCCATCAGCAGCCTCCATGCTCAAGAACGGGGAATTGTTACAAGACAACCAGGAAAGAAACAACAGTGAAACATGGCAGGAAAAACATATGCATCTGGAGAGTGGGTTTGCATCTGGAGATCCAAGCATTTCTTGGTGGGTTCCCATATTTTCCGGCATCACATATAGGATATGATAGGATGACCCCCAAGTGTCATATTGTTGGGATGGCTGGCTTAGGTATGCTCAACTGCCTGGTCATATTTTGGTGACACAAACGTTCCCCAATTGACATGCCTGGTTTCCACAAGCTGGGCTTTGTACCAACTTTCTGGTGCTATTTGGATTGGACCACCCTGATTTCTGGATATGATTTTTGGGGTCGATATTTGGATATATATATATACATATGATATATGATCCGTTTGGACGTATTTAGATATTTTGGGCCCTTCCAACCCCAACTGCACCTCCTAATTTCAACATGGAAGCCAAACATGCCAACATTTGGTAGTAAAACCATCTTTGAGATTCCAATTTGCAGGTTCCATTTTGGGTTTAGGGAGTGTATTACTTCAAAAAACGGCTTCAAAAATCGCAACGCGTTGTCATGGCCGGCTCCCAAACCCTCTGACGAGGCGTGATCACATTCCAGTCCAGACTTGTGGAAAAGCTTGGTTGAAGAATTTGAAATAATGTAAATATGTTTTGCCACAACATCTGTAAAATTGGCTTTCTCATATGTGTATATATATAGATACGTATGTTCATGTATATATATATATATGTATACATGTCAATATGTAAATATGTCTAAATGTCTATATGTAAATATGTCTATATGTAAATTTGTCTATATGTCTATATGTATATGTATATATGTATATATGTATATATGTTTATATGTATATATTTATATATGTATATATACATATATACATATATATATATACATATTATGTATATATGTATATATGTATATATATATATGTATATATGTAAATTATATATGTATATATGTATGTATGTATCCAAGTATACATGTATACATGTGTATATTTATACATGTATATGTGTATATATGTATACATGTATATATGCATATACGTGTATATGTATACATGCATATATGTATATGTGTATATATGTATGTATATATATATATGTATATATATGTATATATATATGAATATATATATATACATGTATGTATACATATATATGTATATGTATATATGTATATTTATATGTGTATATATATATATGTGTATATATATATACATATGTGTATTTGTATATATGTGTATGTGTATATATGTATATATGTATATATGTATATTTATAAACATATGTGTATGTGTATATATGTATATATGTATATATGTAAATATGTATATATGTATATATGTGTATATGTACATATGTATATATGTATATATGTATATATCTATATATGTATATATGTATTTATGTATATATGTATATCTATATACATATGTATATGTGTATATATGTATATCTATATACATATGTATATGTGTATATATGTATATATGTATATCTATATACATATGTATATGTGTATATATGTATATATGTATATGTGTATATATGTATATATGTATATGTGTATATATGTATATGTGTATATGTGTATATATGTATATATGTATATATGTATATTTGTATATATGTATATTCGTATATATGTATATATGTATATATGTATATATGTATTTATGTATATATGTATATATGTATATCTATATACATATGTTTATATGTATTTATGTATATATGTATATCTATATACATATGTATATGTGTATATATGTATATATGTATATGTGTATATATGTATATATGTATATTTGTATATATGTATATTTGTATATATGTATATATGTATATATGTATTTATGTATATATGTATATATATGTATATCTATATACATATGTATATGTGTATATATGTATATATGTATATGTGTATATATGTATATATGTATGTGTGTATATATGTATGTATGTATATGTGTATATATGTATATATGTATATTTGTATATATGTATATTTGTATATATGTATATATGTATATATGTATATATGTATATATGTATTTATGTATATATGTATTTATGTATATATGTATATATGTATATCTATATACATATGTATATATGTATATCTATATACATATGTATATGTGTATATATGTATATATGTATATGTGTATATATGTATATATGTATATGTGTATATATGTATATGTGTATATGTGTACATATGTATATGTGTACATATGTATATATGTATATGTGTATATATGTATATGTGTATATGTGTATATATGTATATGTGTATATGTGTATATATGTATATGTGTATATATTACATTAATACATCATGTGTATATTACATATGTATTACGGATGTGTCTCTCTTACTATCATGACAACGCCAGGTCTGGCACAACGGCGCGCCTCTTGAGGCCCATTCCCAAAACCATAGGGATTTCATAGGGATTTCATAGGAATCGAACAGGAAACCATAGAAAATCATAGGAAACCACAGTTTTATAGAGAAACATGCTGATTGAAACAATGCCCATGTTAAATTCCCATTTTCAAACAATGAGTTTCTGAAACATTGGATATTTCACCAACCAAAATTTCTAAGCAAGTTGGAGTTAATGTGGTACCGTGTGGTACCCTCAATGTCATGAACAACTACCGGGGATGGTTGGATTCCCAGCCATAAAAATGGCCAGTTGGAATGAGGATCTCAGGCTTTGACCTGCTAGGAATGTTCCTGGTTCATTTCTCTCCTTGGTGACTTGTCCGGGTAAATTTGGGACCAAGGTGTAAAGATGAAGGAATCATCAGAAGTCAATAAAGATAACAGAGGTGAAGCTGGTTAATAGCTAATGGGTGCTCAATGGTGCTCATGGCTGAGACGATTTGAAGGCTTTTCGGGCACCAATTTGCTGTTAGTCGCTCAGTCCAACCAGTTTTGTTGCAACCTCTCACGGATTGTAGACACATGATTTGTCTATGTTTTTAATGTTTTTTCTGGAGTCTATGTCCTGCTTGTTTGGGGTGCGTTTAATCAATGCCAATTGACTTCTTTTGGGAAAGGTTTGGACTTTGAACTTTTCAATTGCTTTTGTAAAAGGTTTTTCTTTCTTCTCTTGGCTCCAGGATCAGCTCTGGAAAAATTTGCTGCAATTGTGAAACCTGAGAACAAGCCTACTAGAGTTAACTGGACCCTCTCACGGCCCAGTGCCTTGGAAATTTGTGGAAAAACTGTTCTTTAATAAGGGTTTAATAAGCGGTCTGATTCTTTTGGGACAGGGATGTTCAGAAAAAATGTTCAGATTTGTTTACACAAAAACATTTTTTTGGACGAAAAAAATGGTCTCCCAAAATTTATTGGCACAATAGCGATCCTACCAAACAATGCATGGGTTCAGAATAGTTTGTTTTTTTTGGCACAATAGCGAACCTAGACACTAATCAGGATACAACATTAATGCCAATTGAATGAAGGACATACAGGTCCTAATCCCTGCGTATGTGAGGACTACAGGTGGCAGCTGCCGGCTTGGCTGTTGGGGGAACGTTCCCATAGGAAAGGATGTTCCCATATGTTCCCTCTCCCTCTGGGCTTTTCCAAAAATGAGGCATATATTGCATACTCCAAACTTATCCAAAATTGTCGCATCTTAAAATGAGAACTTCGGATTCCAACAGAAATTCGACCAATTACAATGTAATACATCTAATATCATCTAGTTACGGTGCCAATTCTTGGTGCCATATGGTTTGCCCTTTAAAAATCCCCGTTAAGGGAACTCCTGGTGTCCCAGGGGCGTGTTGCGAAGCCAGCGACGCTTCGTCATGGGTCCAGGTGAACCGCCTGGAGCCCAGAAGTCATGGGATCCCAGGATGACGTAGAGGTTAACCCATGGTGACTGGGGATATTATTTTATATATATATATATATATTTATTATTATTATCATCTTTTTTAAAAAAACAATACAATTATTGATTATTTGTTTTATTTAGTACCATTTTTATTATGTTACTATCATTATTATTATTGTTATTATTATTATTATTCAAAAACATGTTTATTATTGTTATTGTTTTTTTTTAAAAAAAAAAAAAATAATTATGATTATTCACTATATATATATTATTGTATTATATTTATGTTTATGATATATATATATATATATTATATTTTATTATATTTATTTTTATAATATATATATATATATATTATATTACATATATATTATATATTATATATATTATATTATATATTATATATATATATATTATATTATATATATATATATTATATATTATATATATTATATATATTATATATATTATATAATATATATATTATATATATATTATACATATATATACAAATATTATTCACATATATATATATATTACATATTATATATATATTATATTATATATATGAATATAATTATCTAGAGGTATGATGATATGTGTATATATATAAGCTAATAATCGTCGACCCATCATTGATCAACCCATCACGTGGTTGACATTTCCATATTTGGGGATGGATTGTCGCAGGGCCTGGCAGGTGTAACTTGGGATACACTAAAATGAGTACCTCTGTTAATGAACAAAAAAGTAACAGAGTTATGGAAAATCAAGGTTTTGAAAAGGTACAGTAAATGATGAATTGTCTATAAATGGCAATACTTTCCATAGCTATGTTGAATTTCCAGAGGGTACGGTTGGTTTCGTATCAGATTTGTTCGGAGTGCGGCCTCCCAGGTACACCTGCACACCGATCCTTCCCCACTTTGCAGCCGAAGCCTGGAGCCTGAGTCAAGTTGAGAGCAAAGAACCCTGTTGAACTAATTTAGTACAGCAACAGTAAACCATCCAGGATTTACCATAAAGGGGGTGGTATACACCATCAAAATATGGGTGGTTTATGGCATTGCTTTACCAACATTACGCAGTGGGATTTTGTTGTTGATTGAGGTAGAGGCATATAAAGTCAAGTAGTAACTAGCAATTGGAAGTAATAACGCAACTGAATTGCAGGTTGCAGCTTGGCTTTGCCCTGCACATATACTTTTTGAGTGAGCCGGTGTAGCTGCGAAACAGGATGCTACCCCATTAAAGGAGACTCGAAACGGGAGGAACAATTTGCTGGCATGCCATCGAACACAGCAGGGGCTGCACTCAGCATGTGATTCATGTAGAACATTTTCTACATATAAAGACACGTAAATGCATTCACGTGGATCAGGTAGATACATGTAGACTTGGATAGAACAATACATATATGTATATAATTATATATATATATCATTATATATATATATATAAATATGGATACAGGTGGATACATACAAGTATATAGATATAGGTGCATAGGGAAAAGCGTTTGTAGATGGCATAGGTAAAAGCGTTTGTAGATGGATCATTTATAGATTGGGAGATAGGTGGATACGTATAAGGTAGAAAGGTGTGTGTGTATATATATATATACATATGTATATATACACATATAAAGCTAGACCTAGGTACCTTTTTAAATCATATCTACACATGTGCATATGAACATGCATGTGTGATGTGTGGATTATAACTGCATATACATATGTACATGTACAGGTATCTTATGTTTGTTTTTAGCCTATTTTTCCATGTACAATATGTACATCTCCCAGTGTCTCAGAAGTGGATGGGAAAATCCTACTGGTCTAAGGAAGAAAAGCCTACGGGCTTCCTGCAGATTTTCCTTTATAAGGGTCCCCGAAAAAGATGCCGAAAGGCGTTTCCAGGATGGTAATTAGTTCGATGATGTTTCCCCCATGTCCCAGCATATTTTTTCAGCTTTCCCAGGTATATTCTATTCTATCTATGGCTGGGGGGAGTACTAGAATTGATCCCGTAAACATTCCATAGATTTTCTACCTGAAGTTTAGGCAGAGAGTCTCTGTTGAAGCGACGCAATTTCCACTCAAGTATTTGTTGTGTTGGAGCAACGAGGCCGCAGACGCCCACACAAATTCCATTCATTAACCAGGTTGCTCCAACGTGGTGGAGGTCACGCTTTTTTGTGGGATAAATTGGTCATGTTATCTCTAGATTTACCCTCTAGTAATTTAACATAGCTATTGAAAATTGCCCATTTATGGTTGATTTACCTATTAATAAAGATGGTGATTTTCCACAGCTATGTTAGTTACCAGAGGGTATCCAGTTTACCTTACAAAAGTACCTGTAGTGTGGCAGCGGAGGTGCATGGCTTCTCACTGGCCGGGAAGGATCCCCTCCCTGCCGATGTGGTCGCAAGGAGATTTATCAAGCAAAGCGGGGCCACGAAAGGGTCATGTTTTTTTATTAGGAGACACATATGGAACATGGAGGGTTAACCAACCATCAAATGGGGATATCATGAAATATCATGAAATATAATGGAACATAGTGGGATATATGTGTATAATGTATATATACATGAATATATGTATGATCCCGTCTCCCGCCCACGAGACCCCCCCCTCGAATGGGTTGGGTCCCCCAGGAATACCCCTCTACCTTGTATTTTGTTGGTATTTTGTAGCCCTTGGCATATCTACCTATGCAATGCACATGCTAAAGTCAAACTCCCTACCTACAACCTATTCCTACATTCCTACATGCATACATACATACATACATATATATATATACATATATATATATATATATATACATAATCCCTTACATATCCCTGATAAGCCATCTTGCTATATCTTATGCCTGTATACTACCTATAGACTATCTACATGCTATATATTTACACTATGCGCTATCTACAAAAAACCTATATATACTATATATATAACCTATATACTATCTATATACTATCAAGAGGCTATCTATGTATACTATCTATATACTATCTATATGCTACCTATATTCTATCATATATTTATATTACCTATCTTGTACTTTGTTATGTGTTTTGCATGCTTAATATAATATATATATATATACATTATACATCATTTTACAGTATATACCTACACATACCTAGTGTCTTTTACTATCTTGTGTCAATATAGCCCTCACACACCGGACCGCACCCACCCACAGGGAGCGGGCGGAGGGGGAGGGAGAGAGAATGGCACTACATATACCGACTTATATACCTGCTGTATATGTAATCATGTGTATGTATATATATATATAATTATATATATATATATACATCACACCTACCCACAGGGGGGGGAGATCACCAGTACTTATACCTATATGAGCTCATACATATCTATAGATTCCTGTATCCCCCCAGCCACAGGGGATCATCCCCAGCCCTGGACCTGCAGAGCCATACCCCAAATTGGGGGGGGTGGGGGGAGACAGGGAGGGCTGCATCATACATATATATATATACATATATATATATACACACTATTATATCTGGGATTTAACATGAATTCACCAGCCATGTATTGCCATCTATAAAGGGAAAAGGTTATAAAGTTATAATCCAAGTCGAAGGTATCCGAATTTCAGACTAACCCGGAGGCATGTGCCCTCCACTGGGTTGACACAGCATTGCGATCAGTTTACATCCGGATGTTGGATCTTTATTGTGCAGCATCCTATCATGAAGCCACTGCGCAAGTGTGTCTTGTGATGGTCCTATTTTTCTCAATATACATGTTACATAATTCTACGTGCTATGTGGAAAAAACATATATCTTATTTAGTTCGATAATTTATGATATTTATGATTTCCCCATCAAACATGGTGATTTTTCATAGCTATGGCTGACTTGGTGGCAGTTTCATGGCACGGTGATGGTCCTGTGGCATATACGAACCGCCTTCCTCGCGGTTAGGTGTAATCTATCGTGGTGTTCTTTTTTCACATGATGCGCAGCAGGATTTTCCAAGATGACATATTTTCAGGTTATCCCTTAAATATTAGCATGGCATTTTTGATATTTTTGGTGGCAAAGTATCCAAGTCACACTTTGTTTGGCCAGGATCAAAGATGACATGAAGAAGTACCGCGTTCTGGTCTTCAAAGATCAAGGTCGCCTCAGCGGGGAACGTCAGGCCGCAGCGGATACTTGGAAATTGTTGCCGTCCAAAAAAAAAAACGCCAATTTCGGAAACTCGGAAACTCGGCTGAAATTTCCATGGATTTTCCATGGATTTTCCATGGATTTTCGGATGTTCCATGGATTTTCCATGGATTTTCCATGGATTTTCGGATTTTCCATGGATTTTCCATGGATTTTGCATGGTTTGATTGCCAAAAGGTGTAGATTCTTCTGAATGATCGGTGTAATGATGTTGTGTTGGTGGAAGGTCCGAAATCTCTTTGATCCCACTGGCAGGTGCAGATATCCCAACAACTGGGAACAGCGACTTGGAAGCAAGTCAACGGCATCCACATGGCCGTGGATCTTTTATGAATGAAATGTGCATACTTCTACGAAACCATGCTTGTTTGAAATCTGCTACATGTTTTCCAATGGTAATCATCATTAGCGGTCGAATTCCACAACAGTAATTGATTGTGAAAAACCATGGTTTTGCTGATTAAAGCTTCTGTGTTTTGCTGCAGCCTATAGTGTACTCGGTGTTATTAAGAGATTCAGCCCGTTTAAGTTTTTTGAAATGCAAGCCAATCTGGTTCCCTGCTCTTGCCGCTTGGTCCATCATGAAGAGTGTGATGATGGTTGCTTAGCTTCCTCATATTGATTGGCAATGTTTGCACTGTGGTTAAATCATATTGTTCCATTTCTGTTCCTAATATAAGCTACAAAGGGAACATTGCAAATTCTTATCAGTTGAATTACCTAGTGTTCTTGCTTGAGTTTCTAGTGGCAATGCTTGTGGCTTCGAATTTGGAACGTTCCAAACACCCCGAAAATACAGAGTTCCTGATATCGCACACCAATCGCCCATATTTTGAACCCAAGCATGGCCCAGATTGAAAGCACCTTCTACAAACATCCAAAAAGCTTGGAGCTCAAGCGTGTTCAGTCAGCTGGGTGCATTTGGAAAGCCATAGCTGGCTATAGGCGTTGCCATTTCACATCCAAAAGATACCAGGGTGCGGTGTACTTGGCTATAGTTGAAATATGCTTTCATTTCAGCACCCATTTGAGAAACGGGAAATCACATGAAGATTCACATTCCATTTGAGATAGTCATAGATAATCTATTCCCCATGACGGATCCATGGTGCTGGTATATATGCGATCCCATTGGGGGTATATTGATGGGATCCATGTTGCCATATATAGCAGCACCATGGATCCGTCATGGGTTCTGGCAGCCAGCCGGCAGCAACGGATGGTCTAAGCGCAAGCAATGGAACACTCGTTACCATCTATAGTAATTTGATGTAATCTGTAGGTGCCATAGATATATCATATGATATATCATAGATACCCATAGAAAACTTCAGATTAAAGATTGTGATTCTATGAACACAGAGGATTGACTGTTGGGTATCACTCCTTGGTAGATGTCCAGTTTTGAGGATGGTTGGAGATGATGTCCAAAAAGTTGTTGGGCGATGTTCAATTGGGACATATACTAACCCCTGTTTATTCTGGTTGGTGGTTTGGAACATTTTTTATGTTTCCATATATTGGGAATGTCATCATCCCTACTGACGAACTCATAATAATCAGAGGGGTGTTAGGTTTCATGTTCAATACCATAGTGTTGTTGCTTGCCCCTCACATCTAGCACAGCCACCCTTCTGGCACACTGTCAACCCGGTACCGCAACGAACAAGGTCGCCAGCAGGGTGGAATCGATATACTATTTAACCACAGGTTACTGGTGAATTGAGACCCAGCAATGAATTTAATTTGTACATTTAACATCATTTAATTATACTATACACACATGTCATATGTATGTTACTATGATATATATATATAAGTATATATATATGTATATACGATAATTGTGATAAACTATTGTGTATTTCCTGTTTTGTTTTGTCACAGTGTTGACAAAAACATATATATATATATAATTTATCTCTATATACACATATACACCTCTATAAAAACATATATATATAATTTATCTCTATATACACATATATACACTTTTATCAAAACATATATATATATAATATAAGTATATATATACGTAGCACTTGGTTGGCAATCAAACTCACTTGGCTCCAAAATGCAGGTCCACATCCAGACATTTTTCGAGTTTCCAATGATGCCACTTGGATCATGAGTTTCCGACCAGGAGAAGACAGCTTTGTATCACGAGCCGACTGGGATCATATTCATTCCTGGATCATGAGAACATTGGAGTTATGTTTTGGGGGTTATTTAACTTGGGATTCTGGAGAAAACATATGTTTCATTGTTTTGCCTGAGGTTTTGAGATCAATTACTGTATGTATGCTGCGTATAATATATGATCTCTATGTATATTATACATATATATATATATAGATATATAGATATATATATATATTATATATGTTGCATCAGTACCCCAGCATGAACTTGGGAATCCGAAGAACAATGCTTGTGAAGACAAGCGCTACAGACCATGCTTTGCTGTGGCGGATTGTGAAGATTGCTGATTTGTAGACGAACCCGTTGATTTTTTCAGTTTAATCGGTCATCTCAAAATCGGGAACCCTAAGATCCTACTTCATATGCTTTGCAATTATGTGTCCCATTGAAACATACGTAGAAAACAGGGACCCATTTCCATCCATTGCGCATTTATATCCAACCACAGCATCCATTGCCCATTTAACACCCAGCGCTGTTTTTAGCGGGTCTACAGTGAGGAAACGGAAGGATGCGTGGGCGTGGGGTTTGGAGCCTTGGAGCCTCAGTCCTGGGCCAACTGTTCTACTTGGGGATACTTCTGGGTTACCCTCTGGTAAACAAACAGTTTGCTATTGAACATGGCCTAGTCGAAATAGTTGATTTACCCATTAATAGCATGGGTGGATCTTTCCATAGTTTTTTGTTACCAGAGGGTACCATATTTTCGGAGGTCAAGCTTCACAACATTTTCCGGGGGAATCAGCATCACCAATGATCTTTTTTTGGGTTTTTCTGGTGACCTGGTGGTGAGCACCAGGATCTCCTGAAACCAAGGCGCACCGGCTGGCACATCGATGGAACCTTTCAAACAAGGCGGGGGCCCCGGGGTTTTTGGATGTCTTTGTCATGGAGAATTCATGGGAAAAATGGGTAAACAAACATCTTTATTATATCTTTATATATAATTATAAAATATATAAGACTTAAGATATACTGTGTATATATATATGTATCCATATTATGAGGATAAAATGGAGATACTATTACGATCCAGTGGTGAACGGACAGAGTCGGATAGAGCGATCCGGAGCTAGGGGCATGCAATGGCATGCATAGTCCCTATTAAATGGGGAGCCAGGGAACTATTCAGAGTTTGCGGACCAAGGAAGAGAATTCTGTTCAATTTGTGGCACTTCAGGAAATCAGCTGCAAGATTCTGAGGGAATCATCCATGAAAGAAATGATCAATTTGCAAAATGCGTCTTATTTCTGGTTTCACCCAAGGCTACGCACACAGATCGGAGGGGTGACTGTGTGTTCATATTTGGCTCTATCAACCGTTATCAACCGACGTGATCGCGACTTGATCAACAAATCTAGACAGATGAGTAGAAGAATGTAGAATATATGTAGAAACTACCCATCGGATACAACAAAACATATATATATATACACATAAATGTACACTTAAGTGTTTGGCTGGCATCTTTTTAATCAGCGGGTTTTTTTAGGGTCACCGCCTCCAGGTTGATTTCAGGATTTCATCCCATGCAGGGCCGATCCAACAGTGAAGCTGACTCGCACGGTGCCAGACGTGGCCCGTTGTGGAAATTCACCAAGCCACTGTGGTATTTCCCATGGGTTTTTTGTTTGGAGACATGAAAAACCTATGGTTTTTCCCATGGGAACACCACGGGACTGACAGATGGATTGCAGGCCCGCATGCATAGGCGGACGGTCAGCAATCATAAATCCATGTTCATTGTTTTTGCTTTAGCATTATGTGTGGATTGCCATGGCATTAAATGGCATTGGGATTTATATATCCAGTGCCCCATCTTAACATCCGCTAATCAAACGAGGCTTGCAGGAAAAACCACCATTTATTTCAGGGATAGTTCAGGGATTTTGCAGCCACCTTTGATGACACCAGAGGGTACCCCATCTCATGAAATTATGACCAATCCATCATTCACAGTATTAAGATGTATTAAGCCAGTATGAACCAGAGGGTAAGCCAGAGTAATTTGACCATATAGGACCGGTTACCTTGACAATGATTCTATTACGTATAAGTATTAACCAGTCCATGGATACCCAGTTATTGTCCCATTAGAAGCCTGAGTCATTTGACATACCCTCTGGTAATTTAACGAAACACCGAGCGACACCAACACCGACTGACACGGTGTGAGGCCTTTCAAGTACCAGACCATGCACTTCCACAGTGTTTGCGAAGGTGGTGAAACCTGGTAGCATCCTCGGCACCATGGAGTGAAGAAATGCTACTGGAAGCCCAAACAGTTTGCTGGGTATATAAATATAATTATATATATATATCCAGATATTTAATATCAGGGGGAAGGGGTCAATTGTTAATTTCAAATGTCATATTATGTGTTATACAAGTTATAACCAACCTACCAATCAACTAACTCTGTGACCTTTGTGGCCCTGTCTACGTGGCGCAATCCCCTGTGACAAATTGTTATCATCAAGATGCAGTACAGACATGTAATGATACGTGTAGATGGCCATGGCAAAAATCATGCTTTCTTTTTGAGCTGTTTGATAATCTAGCCTGGAATTTCCTCAGTCGATGTGATGTTCCTCTTTTTCAAATACTGTATAATGCCCATATAGGTATTTACTACTGCCATCCTTGATTGCCACAAGGTAATTTCCTCATCCTATGTGGCTGGCGACATTGATCGACTTGCAGAGCTATAGCTGAAACAGGGGGTCCTCATATCCGCCATGTTTTCCCATTTTCCAGCGATGAAACATTGCTTGAACGGGAATCAGTCTGGTCAGTGCTTCCCCAAAAAAGTGGGGTGTACCATGATGTACCTTTGAAAAGATCAAGGGAACCTGGTGACACCCACCGTGACAGCGAGTATCGAAGCTCAGGTTTGTTCCCTTGAAAGAATTCTATGAGATGCAGGATGAAGAGACTCGAGACCGCTTGGGCCTCAGAAGCCCAGGGTAGGACCGGTAGGATGGAGAGAATCGAGAATCAACATCCAACCGTGGACTTTCATGGAGGCTCTGAAACAAGATCGCGCTACCAAAGACTGTGTTGGACACACATATGTACATATACATATATATATATACACATGTACAATATATATATATATATAATATATACATATACATAACCATATGGCATATATATATATAATGTGTGTATATAATAAATACATAACCATATGATATATATATATGTAATGTGTGTATATAATACATACATAACCATATGACATACATATATATATATATATAATGTGTGTATATAATACATCACCATATGACATATATATATATATATATATACACTATATAAATACATAATATATATATACATAATATATATATAATTATATTTATATATATACATTATATATATATATGTACATAACATATATATATATACATAACCAGACTTGTAGGAGTTCAATTTCCCAACTTTCGGGGGTTTGTTCTTTCACCATAGAAATCAGCTGTCTTGCACCCTCTGCACTCTTCCAGGCTGGGATAGATATTGGATGGTGACCAGAGAAGGCTTGGCCCATCCCCTGGTCTATCGACATCCCGTGCGGGAGGTGGGCGGCTGGATGCGGCTGGATTGGGTGGGCAATGGGAACCATTGCCGTGTCGCAATCTATAGCCAATATATGCATCAATATGGTAAATGATCCTGATTCACTGCGAAAATGTGTGAAACACAGGCAAAACATCTTGAACTTAAGGTAGTTGTCCATGGTTCTGTTGTTTATTACCAGAAGCTACCTCGTGATTGTCATTTCTTCATTTTTTTTCTGGGGATCACCATTCATCAGCGATGTGGTTTATCTCCGTCCATCTCCGTCCATCTTCTGGGAAATCCCCGAACTAAATGGACATAACTGGACCATTTTCCAGTAAACCATGTTTGATTACCGAAGTGTAACTGCGTTCTTCTGCTTTTATCAAAAATATGTTGATTCTCCCAACAGATACGATGACGCTTTTGAAAGAGCATCTATAGCTAAATTTCATTCTACTTTTCCTCTGGCTATATATATATATATATTATGTATATATATGTATATATATATATGTATATGTATATATATATATAAGGTTGACCTCTGATTAATAACCCCCCCAACGCCTCTAAATAGAATTGCGGGAAAACACTCGACTCGATTGATTTTTGTCTTCGAAATAGTACTGCCAATACTTTATCGAAAACATATATAATTGGGAATTTGGGATGTTTGATTGATTTGTGTTTGTCTTCGATGATTTTAGCCTTCGAAATAGTATTGCCAATACTTGACCGAACGCATAATTGGAGGAATTGCACATTCACCGGGATGAGTTACATTAGCTTTATTGTGGGATGGGCATTATTCAAGCTTTCCAGGTTCAAATAGGAGCCAAAGATCAGATTTATATGGGTGTGACAATTAGGGGTAGTTTCCTGATCACAGGTCAACATTGTAGAGATGTGCATTTTCAGACGATACTTCTTCTTTTTGTGCTTCACTGTCGGACTAGCCTGGCTTTAGGTTGAGAAGCCGCAGTTAATCTGGAAGGAATTATTTTGATGTATCCAATCAATCCCACCGCTATAATTTTCAGGTTCTGATTGGGTTTCATGCTCTCTTTCTTCCTCTTCCAGTTCATCTACTATCATATCTTATCTATTTCATCCAGTCCCTTGTTGGGCTCTTTTCCATTAGGAATGGTTCTTAGCCTCTCAGGATCCTTCACTGCGTGTCTTTCGTGAAGTGATGACTATATATATATTACACTAGGTGAAATCAGGTTCAGGTTTTTTCCAGTTCTCAAGTTCTCCGTCATGTTCCATGAAAATATCTATGAATGATTCCATTCATTTGTTTCTTTTCACCACCAACAGTTGTTCTATTTTCTCATTCTTCACGTTTCATCAGTATTGCTTGCGTATGTTTTTGCAGTGCAAGCAGGACACCAGCATGATGTTTCATTGCGGTCCGCCCTTCTGCGCGGCCTGGGCAGTGGTGGGAAGCGCTCAGCTTTGAAGAATTCTCGGGGTCGCCCTCGGAGGGATCGTTTAGTACTTTGATTTTCCAGTGTACAAATGGGAAATATATGGAAATATGACGAAATATGATGAAATATGTGATTGATTGATTTACTAACCAGCGAAATATCAGGACCTCGTCTTTTTTGGTCGCAATGCGGTGGCTAGATTGTAGGATAATGGAGGACTAGTGTCGTGCCTTAAGTTGTACCCAGGAACTTCTTGTCTCGTCAGATCCCTGCTGGTGCTTTTAGCTTCCCACTGCTGATCAATGGGCCAAGACAATGAACATCATCCCCTCTAAATAATTTAAACGTAACCAACTAAACCTCATCCTGGATACTCATTTTCTTCTTGTAATGCTAGTAGGGATCAAGCCATTTTTAAATGATTGATTGGGCAGTTGGTTTGGCCCCCAGGGGGTCCTTCCCGAGGATGATGATGCGGAACGATCCTCTGAAAGGTGCAAAGTCATGGTGTAATCGTGACCCAGCGACCAGTTGAGACCGATTGGTTTGTGATTTACAGGGTGAAGTCATGTTAAGTCATGTTAAGTCATGTTAAGTCATGTTAAGTCATGTTAAGTCATACTGCTCATGACATTTGGGTGGCTAATTCAATGATACCTTGGTTATGCCATGGGGGTTATGGACCTATTCCTACCGCCAGGAAAGTCTCTGGGAGGATGATTGCGCCACATGTTGTGCAGGTGGGTCATGTTGCAGCCATGGGAGTTGAATGGAGATGGTATAATATGTATATGTATATACCCTATATACATACATGCATACATATATACATACATGCATGCATGCATGCATGCATGCATACATACATACATACATGCATACACACACAGACATACATACATACATACATACATACACACACACATACATACATACATACATACATACATACATACATACATACATACATACATACATACATACATACATACATACATACATACACACAGACATACATACATACATACATACATACATACATACATACATACACACACAGACATACATACATACACACAGACATACATACATACATGCATGCATGCATGCATGCATGCATGCATACATACATACATATATTTACATATTGTGTATGATATATATATATATACATGTTGTGTATGATATATATATATATATATGTATGTATATATATATAGATATGTATATATATATATTGTAATATGCAGTGCAATATGCAGATATATTATAACAACCTCACTGCGGAGTCACAGTAATGATGGTTTATATATGGGGAATCGTCCCAAAATGGCCTTTTCAGGTTCGTGAATTATTACACTTTATCTAGATATATGTTTGTTATATATGTATGCAGATACACTTATCATGGGGGTGGGTCCAAATTCTCTGGTTTCCTTTTGTTTGAATGAACATCTACAGTAAACCATGGGCCCATACCAGCTAACTATGGAGGCATAACTGCAGTGTTGAACAATTCGTATAAGAATTCAAGATCCACCCAATCCACTTGTTTGTTTTAATGTGTTTCCTTCATATTGATAAACATGCTTCATGCTTCTGTGCCAATCGTCAACTCAGGGGCTGGGTCATCATGAGGAGGGCAGTGATTGATCTGCAAAGCTGACCACGGTCCCACAAAGTCCCCCATCTCGAATCTTGGGTAAAATCCATCGATAAGCTCAGTCAGTTGTGGGAAATCACCTGATTTCTGTGTAATAGATGTAGTTAAAATAGCTAACCACACATGGAAAGTGGGGTGTTTTCCAGCCCCTCCAGCCCCTGGAGGATGAACTCACCAGACGTTTGGATGAAGCAGTCGATCGGATTGGCATCAAGATGTCTTGGGAGGCCACGGGCCCCCCCGGGGAAATTGGTCATTTTCATGGTGTTTGACCTAACCATAGGGTTCATAGGGATACCCTCTGGTAAATTAACAGTTGGACCCTGAAAATAGCTTAGTTTTAATGGAAACTAATCTTCCAACCCCGATGACTGCCAGGGTATGTTAATTTACCAGAGGGTATATCGTTTGTTTTACACAATAACATATCTATGGCAGCTATTTTATAATGAACTGTTTGTAGACGGAGTTTCCCATCCAAAAAAAAACTGGTTTTCCATAGGCATGGTAGATTCCCAGAGGGTACCAAAAGTTGGTGCTTGTAGGAGGAACAGCTGCACACAGCAGCTAAACTCCATTCCTGCAAGGTTTATCCAATACCCTGACGCTATCTGACGCAACTGGACGTGCTGAAGAAGATGAGGGCTCATCACGAGCCATAGATGATACATCAAGTTGAGACACGACCGTTTCTAATTTATGATAGCTTTGTTAAAAATATCCGAATGTATATCTGCCTGGCTGTTTGAAAATAAGGTACCCCGAAATCCAGTGTTTTTAAAACACCAGTTTCCTATGAACAATTGTGACCTTATTATATTTTATTGGGGTATACTATACCCCATAGGATCCATGTATGCTATATATGGTAACATTTACCATCAATATACCCCCAATGTTAGCATATATACCATACATGGATCCTATGGGTACTAGCCATTTTCAGGGCTCTTCAGTACCAAAAGACAGCTATCAGGAGGGCGACTTTGCCATCAATGACAACCTGGGGAATTGCTGGGAAGCCCAACCCCCTGCCGGAGCTGGAAATGGCTGGAGGTGTTTCCGTTGCTGCAGGGTCAGCATAAATAGATAGTCATAGTGAGATATTTTTCTAGAAGAACAATAGGTAGAAATTACAATTACATGAAATTGCAGTACAATCATCGTATATTTGCTGTAATGGATAGACAGTGAGATATATGATTGGCCATGATTGCAAATTGATCAAAAACAAATCACATTTTCACAGGAAGTTTGAGGTCATTTTTACGTCAGAATTGTGATCATTCGTGAGTAATTTTCAGCAGTAGCCAGTAGTAGATAGTATGTAGTATGTGTAGTATTTGCTGATGCTTAAACAGCAATTCGATTTGAAGATTCTTGAAGGAATTCATTAGAGACGTAGGTCTCCTTGGTGACCTAGCCGATCTATGTGAGAATAGGTCGAACTTCAAGACGTAGAAACTCAAAGATTTTTTTGGCATGTTCAGTGTTGAAGCCTTTCCAGGCCTCTATTTCACCAATCCTGGTTTTGGTCTGATATATGTTCATGTCTGAATGCAGTTTTGCATTCTACCTGGGATCATGGAGGCTCAAAATTGGCTCTTTGGAATCAGCGCCAGTCTTAGAAGTTCAAGGGAAAATCCACAGGACCTATAACTTTGATTGTTGTTTGTTTACCCTCTGGTAAACATACAAACAACTCTGGAAAATCACCATTTTTAATGGGAAAACTTACTATTTCTATGGCCATTTTCCATAGCTATGTTGGTTTACCAGAGGGTAATGGACAGAACATGCCTGAAATTGTGATGGTGTCATGCTAAACAGAAGCATCGCTCTTCGGGCGACGCGGCGCGGTTAGGTCATTATGCCTCCAAGGGCACGCAGAATCCCAAGAAGAAAGCTGGACTGAGGCAGCACCGCCAAGTCTGGTAGCAACCTCTCGGGTTTCAGAAGCACCTAGGACTTACAGTAATTGGTGATTGGGATTTGTACCTTGTATAATAAACACTAAAAATGAAAGGTTCTGGATATCTTTCTGATGTATCTAAGACAATAGATTTTATTTTATTAGACAGTTTGTGAAAAGAAATTGAACAAGTTTGAAAGGATTACATGGGGCAGGCAGCACGTCGCGAACTTGAAATCCGTATTCTTGTTGGGCCAAAAGTCCCCTTTTTGTTGGAATCAGTCGATGCTCAAGTATCCCATATAATTACTCAGTATATCTCAGTACTTTCCATGATTTTCCATGTTTTTCCCAGCTCTGCTCTATCTTTAGTTTGGGGATTTTCCAACCATGTCATACCATGTCAGCCACTCCGGATCGCCAGGATACTTCACCGGACGACCATCGCTGGGGAAGACGTCCCGGCCAAGTTTGACGGTCGAAGCTCCAAATATCTGGATCTTCGCTGAGAAAAAGAGGCGACTGTCGCAGGCAACCTGTGCCGGGACAGGGACATCGTTTTTTTGATGCACAGGCATGAACCAGGCATTGATGCACACCTAAAGATCCAAGTCTCATGTGTTCGAATTGCAATTGGTCATATATGATATATATATATTATATATATACATTGCTACTACTATTTTAATACTAGTTGTTGCACACCAAGTATCTCGTACTTGGTGATGGTGTTTTGGGTTTGTCCCCTTCACAGATCCCGCTGCCATCTTTGTTCAAAGATCCTGTTTGCTTCGAGCCTTCGAGGTGCCGGGTGGGGAAGTGATTGGGTGAACTGATCCAGATGAAATAGATCTAATTATCATGATCTATCTAAACAGCCTGTCCAAATTGAAACAATTCCTGTTTATTACTAGTATGTGGATGAAAGATGATGTAAGTGGTTCAGAACCATGGTTTGTTCACAATAAGATCACCTACGTATGGGATATTCCCAGCTATAGGTTATCATCCAGTTGCTGTACATTGCTGTACATCTGACTTGAATGTAGATAGGCATAAATACAAGAATCGATATGTAGAATCAAATCTGCCCCTGCATGAGAAGTGTATGAAAGTATGTGCGATGTATGTCTAAAGGTCCTGGATATCATGTTGTGCCCTAATATATACACATGCACCTTTGGGTTCACGCTCAGTGGTCTAGGGGCTTTTAGTTAGTGGTTGGACTAGCTTTGAAACATGTGTTTGAATCCAAGCTTTCACCAGTCACATATCCGCTCCTTAAAAATACTTGATGTTCTTTGGCCGCAACACATCTGTTGACTTTTACCAACAGCGAAAAGCTGTTCTCTCTTAATGGCACTGATACTTGTTGAGTTTCGGGTCCGGAGGGATCCATCCTGTGGATCACTGTGGAGCTCGTGATGGAGGATCACGACCTTTGTTTGTTGGGTACTGTATATATATGCTTGCTTATGTTACACTGGTATGAGTCAAAAGTGGGTAACACATGAAAAATCGAATGATGCTGTTTTTGGTACATCCTCTTAGTTTTGGAATGGATCCCCTTAAATTTGTTTGTTGCAGTCACATGATTGTCGTAAGTTTCAAAAATACAGTACTCCAAAATCCCATGGCCAATCATAATTTTCCTCATTGATATAGCCATAGCCCTGATTTTTTGGGTATACCCTCTGGTAATTTAACATAGCTATTATTGAAAAGGACCATAGACATAGTGGATTTACCCATTAAAAATGGTGATTTTCCATAGCTATGTTAGTTCACCAGAGGGTATACATCATTTTCACAGGTCGCACTGGTCGACATTGCCATGGCCGCGACGACCCTGACCACTCCATTGACCGATGAAGACGGAGGTGTTTTCAATCAGGAAACGCCAGGTGGTGGAGATGTGTTGTTTATTCTTCCCAGGGACCATTTGGGGTGGGTTCCTAATGTTTCCATTTCGGATGATGATTAGTGATGATTTTTTTGGGAAGGGGTTTGAAGCAACAAATCACTGTTGATTGGGTTTACAATGCTTATATACAGTAAGATCAACTCAAAGATTCAATCCAACATGAGGATATCACCAAGAAGTAGTGCTACAAGAAGCCTCCTGCCTTTCAGCTTTTGCTGGTGCTAGAAGTTTGTTCTCGGCTGTGCACCTTTCAGGTGCTCCCCAGCTACCCTCTTTGAAGCAAGCGAACGATGAGATTCGCCGCAACTTCGTTCGAAAGGTGTGCCTCGGCGAGAGGTGCTGTTGGGGATGGTTTGGTGCTTTAAAAAAAGGGTGACCTTGAGCTGGAGAATTGGTGATGAATCAAATATGTACATATTTGTTTCATAATTGGTAATTGATATGTAATTATTGGCAATTGAGCTCAAATAGATAATGAAAAAATTGGTAATTGAGCTCAAATAGGACAAATCGGCTTTATTTTTCATGTATAGTGATATGTAATGAAGTGAACTGAAACGAGGTGAACCAACCTTGATGGTGACGTGATTCTACCTCTGGCTAGTACTGTAGCCCTTGAAAGTCGTCAATCACAACATGCCCATATATATATATTCATATACTGTATGGGGGTCGTTTGACCACAATTTGGCCATAAGGGTGCACAGATAGGTGCACAGCTGGGGTGCTACACATGATAAAATCACTCGGAGTCGGGAGAAAGACCTACAAAAGCCACAAAAAGATAGGAGATCCTTCTACTGAATTCTATTGTATTTTCCAAGTGTTGCGGGCTTCACGGCTAAAACATTGCTTGAAATAACGATGAAAAACATGTTGCCAAGTTGTGAGTGCAGCGGCCTGCAAACACCTGAAAAATATGATATGTCTGGCTGACCCCGCGGGTTTGGAAGAAGATGTTCCCATAGAAACTGGCTACATGCTAGGTGTCAGATGGCTCAAAATGATCCCCCAAAGAGAATTTATGGTTCACTACTGTTCACTATAGTACTAACGAAAGGTCCTTTTTTTTTGAGCCAGAACTGTTTGAACTCCATGTTCCCGTATGGTTCCGTATGCGCATGATAAACCTAGGAGATAGCTGGAGTTTTTTCGGCAGCGATTTCACCACCCAAACTACTCGGCTGCGGCTCTGTCTTATTATGTCTTCATTTAAATGGTACCCGAACATTTTGATGGTTGATCTTCATGTTCCCTATATTTGTCATATTTTTAAATATGGCCATACATTTACATTGGGGCTATGCAGCGTTCTGCGTCTTATCCTGACGGCTCGTCTTTGCCATGTCCAAGCGTAGCTGCTGGGTTGTGATCATGAGCCCCGCTGATGATGGCTGCGGGTGTCATTAAGCTTGGGATTGCAGCAGAGATGATTTGAATAGTTGCAAAAAGAAATCAAAAATTACTGTATGATCTGCCATTGCATGAGACACAATTAATGATTAATGTTTAACACTGCATCTCCATTGAGGCAAGTGCAATGGCATGCAACGACATACATATGTCATATGCATGTATAAGTATAATTGTATATATAATTTGTTTAGACTTAGATGATAGATCTACAACCCATCCGAAATCAGCATTGTATTCTCCTTTACATACTGATGCATATACGTATCATTACACATCACCCATACTACAGTATACTATAAAATACATGAGTATATTATATACATGAGATATCCAATGATTGTGTTCCAATCAATTTGTTTTGCATATCATCTGAAAACACTATCCTATCATTCCTATCCATTGAGTATTGCTGTTCTCAGCTTGGGTCGGCTCGCCATGTGCCACGCGGAACGATTGGCGCGCCATGGACACCATGGACCTGACGCAACGGGAGGAACAGGTCGTCACTGCGGACGACACAGCGCCTGGGATGTGACGATGGCGAGACGAAACGGGTGAAACGGGTGAGACGCCTGGGTTGCTTGCGGATGCCTCCGGTAATTTAAGAGTTTGCTATTTAGAATTTCACGTTTATAGTTGACTTGCCTATTAAAGATTGTGATTTTCCATAGCTATGTTAGTTTACCAGAGGCTATCATCTTAAAAAAACATGGGGAATGGGGAAGATCATTAGTGCCATGAAATGGCTAAAACATATTGACAGATCTGTGAAAAAGGGCCAATGGATGGCTATGTTGATGAGGGATTGAATGGTTGAACCCACGACCATGATCGACCATGTGGATAGAGTGGAATTTGACAGGGTGTAGCTAATATCTCGTTGTTGATACATGGCGATTGGGCAGAGGACCATCTCCAATCTTGACACGCAGCCTGGGGCAATCTTGGATGGATAGTTCCTTAACAAGATGTCACTGTCCATTGGCCATAGATTCAACAGCTGAAATGAGGAGACTTCACGAATCCCTAAGATCAGGGGATTTGAACAGCAAACATGGGCGTGATGGAATGTATCCAATCTAGCTTTCAAGATAGCGAAAAAGTATGATACACTGGAGGTTACCCTCTGGTAAACTAACATAGCTATGGAAAATCACTTTTTTTAAAGATAATTCAATTGTAAAATGCTATTTAGAGTGCCATTTTCAATAGCAAACTGTTCAATTGCCAAAGGGTAAATACCCATTTACTACTATTATTTACCACAAATCACCCAGGAGCTAGATGGCCCGGCAGCGAGGTCAGCAGTTTAGGTTTAGTCTTCGTGAATTTGCCACCGCTGCCACCTCCTCCGATGATTGTGAAGCACGTGCATTCCGGCACATGGGCAGAAACTGCGGGGCTACTTGGTGTTGAAAAACCTCCGGGAGTTGTATAGTGACTAATGCTGTCACCATGTATAGCATGAAAGATACGGAGGTTTCCTAAAATGGGGTTACCCCTAAACCATCCATGTTTTGGTGAATTTTGAGTTATAAACCATCCAGCTATTGGGGTAACCCCATGACTATGGCCACCTCCATATCCAAACCCAGAAATAGCATAGTATCAGTATCAGTATCAGTATCACTACCAGTACCAGTATCAGTATCAGTATCAGTATCAGTAGAGAGGAACGGATGCAGCATAGAAGTGATCAATGGGTTGTGCGACTATACCCTACAAACTGAGAGAAGATCCCGGTATTGCATAGAGAGTTTTGCATGTTCATTCTCACCAATCGGAAAAACAAAACAAACTCCAGCTTGAGGTCCTAACAACCCCAAACAGATTCCATTATGTCAAATGAAAGGCAACAAAAACAAGTTCCAAAGCGCGAATGGTTCCGAAGCTTTGTTAATTACAAAAACAAAGGGCGGGATGAACATCCATTGATCAGCTATTGTGGTTTGTCTAAAAGACAGAGTACCCCAACATCCCCATGGTTTCGTCATCATTTCCTCATTCTGATCGCACCCAAGGATTGGCCCCGGCTGCGAAGTACTGGAGCCTTGACCTTGATACCCTCTGGCTAATAGGTAAATAAACATAAATAAACTACCAACGGGCCATTTTCAATAGCCATTTAGTTATGTTGATTTTTGGAATGGGGCTATCATTCCGTAAATGGGTGACTGGCTTATAACCAATAGCCGGAATTGGTCAGAACTGTATTCGGTTGGTATAGAGTTGGTGAATCGATGTTTCGGTATGTAGGTTCAACTGGCAGCGTATCCCGAAGGGGCGATAAGTTGGGAGAATTGAAGTGTATGAAACCGTCAGCCAGTTCACTCTACACCAGACCTTTGCAGAAGATGCTGATCAAAGGGGTACCAATGTCTACCATATAGTATTGTAAAATAATTATATGATAATAATATTATATAGTAATTATATGTAATTATTATTATTATATATATATATAGATTATAGTATTATAGTAAGTACTGTTTATGTGGGTTAGACCGTTGCAACTGCTGACCTTGCTGCATTTGTGTTGTACGCATTCATGGGCCATCCTGGGCCATCATGGACCTGTCAGAAGTGGCCACGTTGGCACCGGCACCTAGGAACTCGGCGGTTTAAAGGTTGGAAACATGACACGGGAGGAGCCAACACGAGGGATCTGCGGGGTAGTCTCAGAGCTCCCCAAGTGTTTGTTGTTGTGATGGAATGCAACAATTGAGGCTTTTCCCCTGTTGAACTGGTAAATCCAATATGATTACCATTGGCCTTGTGACTCCACTCCTGTGCCCGTGCAAAGCATTTTAGCCCAAATTGTTGTTTTAACCCCCAATATACATATATATATATGTATAGTTATATAATTAATATTATATAGTAATATATTATATAGTAATATGTTATATATAATATAATATAATATGTAATATATATATATAGATATTATGTATAATATACATAGTAGAAAATATAATGTATATTATATTATATTATATGATATTATATTATATTATATTATGTTATTTAATATAATATTATATTATATGATGTATACATAATATATGTATAATATACTATATAATATATAATTTATAATATATGATATATGATAATGCCAACACCGGATTAATAACCCCCCCCCAGAAGGTAGGGAGGTACCTTCTGACTGGTTTTCTTGATCGTCCCTTAATAATAAGCAACTCTGAACCGTAAAACTTTGGATATGGCTTACGTCAATTAGATCTTAATAGAATTCCATTGGATTTGTTAAAAATTCATGGATCAGAAAGGTGGTTGATTAATCAGGGGCAAACCCTGGTTATTATTAATGGGGGACATGGGCTCATGGGGGGTACCTTTGGGAGCTATCCAAACTGATGATTTTTATAAAGATTTTAATTAGAAATCGATCATTTAGTGAATAGTTGTTTTTTGAAATTTTCAATGATCAACTTAAACCTGAAGTATAACAATGATGATTAAAAAAAAGGTAAAAAAACAATTGGAAGTAAATAGAATTGGAAATAAAAAATGTTGGATACAAAAATGGATTTCCGAAGTGGTTGTTGATTAATCGGGGGTAGGCCAAAAAAATTATTAATCTGGGGGGACCACCTGGTTTTAAATTACATTTTTTTTTTGGGCAGTTTCTGTTGATTAATCGGGAGGGCATTATTAATCCTCACTTGACATTATATTTATTAAACAATATAATATTTAATATGGTACAATATAATATAATATTATATGATATAATATTATGTTATATACATATATACCACAATGGATCATAATGATATATCATCCTAGTGACCGACTATTTCAGGGGTCATGTTACAGCATCCCAAAAATGGTGGCCCAACAATGCCCAAAAATTGACGCAGCCCAACAAGGGATTTGTTTTATTGGGTACCCCCTGGTAAATAAACAGTTGGACCCTGAAAATCACCAATTTATAGTGGAAACTAGTCTTCCAACCCCTATCTGGCAGGGTCTATGTTAATTTACTGGAGGGTATACCTCGTTATAGATTATGCGTCACATGGTTCCACACGGTTCCCAGCATCTACCTTGAACATGGCACTATTGTACGGACATGTAGCATGCAGCATATGCATTTTGTGGATGAGAAGAGGAACACAATGGAAATCATGTTGGGATTGTCCATAAAGAGGGTACCCCCAAATAGTGCTTCTCATTATATATTTATATAAGATCCCCGTTTTATTCCCATTAAACATCATGACATATTGGGACACCGATTTTGAAACCACCCCAAGTGGTTGGTTAAATCCCAGTGGATGCAAAGCAAACCACGTGTCCGTCTTTGAGCAACCCACATCCTTGGTGATATATCCCGCTTTATCCCATTAATATGGTAAACCATGGTAAGTCCAAGACAATCAACTTACCATTTGGGGATGGTTAAAGAAACAAACGCATTGGTGGTCACGCTGGGGATGGCTGGCATTGGGTGATTCTCTTACATTGTAAGTGCATTTCACAATTGTTGGATATCACGAAAAATGATCCACAAAATGTCGTATGGTATCCTTAAGTGCAGGAGTTTCAAAAAGTCATCAAGAGCAGACCTTTGCGAATTCGAGTGCAGCCGCCCAATTGCACTGCATGGAAACAGGCGTGGCGTGGCGGGTCATTGGGTTGGTTGATTTACGGACTGGGATCTGGGATCCTGCCTGGTAAACTCACCGGACTAGCCGACTAGCCATGGTATTAGCATCATCATCATCCGTGGTTGAATCGATATGGTTATTGTACCGTCCGTGCAGATAGGTTCAGGATCTGCCCGGCAAGAAGCCAAACAGAACATCACATCTCAGATGATGCTCAGTACGGTGAATCAGATGACTTGATTTCAGGTTGGTGAAATATTGTTTTTCAAGACAGAAAATGAAGACATACCTATTTGTGTACGGTCTTTTAGTTTTCTAGAAAAATCATGACAGACCTATTTTCCCCGGTGAATGAGTGTTTTCAGGATGTATCATTTTCAGACATAATACTGGTGGTAACCATCAAGCCGTTCGATGGGCCACTTTTGGGCCACTTTTGGACCACAGGGAAACTTCTGCAATAGCTGAATCATGATCATCATGGTTGTTTGGTCCAGAACGAATATATATATATATATAATAATAATAATAATAATAATAATGATAATAGTAATATTATATACACCTCTTGAAATTGATCGTGTGTTTTCATCAGTGCTGAAAGGCCTACCCATCAGGTGGTTCCAAGTGTTATGCACACACTTGTCGACTCGATCACTGCAATTCAGCAAAGCCAATTTGAAAAGGTTTCATTGATTGGATCTCTGCCTATTTTGCAGTGCCCTTCAACTTTGGCAGGGTTCACGGGTAAACCCATGGTGTCAGGTGGCGCATTTCCAGCGCGAAGTAGTTCGGCTGCAGTTGAAGAAGGTTTTGCTCCAGAAATCTCTTCGCGATGAGCATGACAAGGCAGCTCCGGAACATGTTTTGCTGTTCCAGCAAGAAAGTAGCCATGGGAATAGTTAGATAGTTGTGTGGAGTTCCTGAGCCGTATAATATATGATAATTAATAAATCTGAAAATCAATGAAATATACATATAATCTGATTTAATATATGCTAGGTCCCTAGGTCTCCTGACAGCACGTTCAGCCAGTTGTGTTCACCACTGATCGCAGGTCAAGGCCGAGTTAGGCCTCGATGTGCAAGCGGAAGAGGAGCGAAGAACGAAGAACAAGGAAAGCAAAGCGGTTCCTCAGCGATGTCCGAAGCGAAGCGTAGTAACGGGCTTCGAGTCGCGTAGGTATGGGTGGTATGGGTTTTTGGCCCCACAAAAAAGCCCCATTTAAGATATGAGAAGATCAGATTTTGGACCACAGATTGAAATGTAGATTTGTTTCGTATTAAGTTAAGCATCTAATTATTAGGGAACCCAATTTTGACCCATATCCAGATTGATGTAGATGGCTATTTCACCAACCTTGTATTTTTTACGAAGCCTCCCACCAGTTTATATTAAGCGTCGTACTCTGTTACAGTGTTAGAGTCACCCCCAAATGAATACCGCCGAGGAAATTGCTCGGGAAAGGCAACGAGCAGAAGATCAGAAGCAACAGCTATTGAATCAAGAAGCAGCCGCTTGTCAATGCCTAAAGGGCCCAAAGTGGCTTTCGTTTGACCTGTTTCTGATCAATGTTTTGGGGGATCAAGGTTGATCGAAGCCTGTAGGATGATGCCGGTTGGATTTTCGACATGTGACAAGGAAATCTGAAATCATCAGTTTTTTCCACAAGCACGGTAGATAGTGGGAACCCTCAGATGTTGCTGACCAATCCCTAGCTGCCCTAGCTTACAGAGTAAGTTTCTACGCAAGAACCATTTTGAGCGCGGAGCCAGGAAATCCAAAAACAGAAGCAGCAGTGTGAAGCGTTTGACCGAGAAACACAAAATCGAAGAAGGAAGTTGGAAACAGAGAAAGTGCAGCTCGGCAGACAGTTTTCAATGTAATTCAAGCTTGTTTTTGATCTTTTTGGGGAATGGGTCAGAATTCAAGGTCGGTGTACCGGGTTCATGCGGCTTGTGGGTTGCCTAACGCGCTGTTGGTTGCGGTCAATTTCAATATCGCAGATGATCTCGGAGCCTGAGACGTACATAATTTGATAGTGATGTAATGGTATGTTATACATATAGACGGATCTGGGTAAATTATAACGACCTCACTGTTCTCCTTCACTGGAATCATGGTTAGTAAGGGAAATCATCCCCAAATGACCTTAATTCTGGTTAGTGAAATATTATAATCTACCCAGACGGATGAAAGTATGGCACAGGTGACAATCAGATTCCATAGCACGGATCATTGGCTTCGTCCAAAAAAATCGACGATGCCCATCAAATCCTTTGTACACAGGAGTTTCCATCACCATGTTCCCATATGCGTTTGGTAACCTTGGTATCTGAAAATATGGTGCTAGTCATGTCAAAAACCTGTGAACCTATTGCCATAAGTTTGAGATTACATACCTCAATTGCAGACAAATCGACTTGTGTTTCGATAGAATGATGTATGTGTGTTTCAATGTTTCTTTTCTCATCGTTTTTCCCATACAGAAGACAAATAAAGTATATTGTCCAAAGTGTTTTTTCCCAGATAGAAGATTCAAGACATACATGTGTTCCATAGAATGCCATAGAACATTATGTTCCCATCGATGTTCCACGTGTTTCCCATATGTTTTTGTCCGTAGAGAATCATGTTCCCTGGAATTTGTCCGTAGGTTTTTCCAGTAAGCCCCTGGAACATCTCAACGAACTACCCTGGAAACAGTCCTTTCGGCATCTTTTTCGAGTTTCCATGGATTTTTCATATGTTCGAGTGGGCTTTTCCCGTTGGATTTTCCACCATCTTCGGCACCGGTGCGACACCGGTGCCATGCCAAGGCAACTGGAGAAGCAGCAGGCGGAGTTGGAGAAGGCGCGGAGCGACTTCCAAGAACTGCGGAAGAGCAGCAGAGAGGCCTTGGAGAAGGCGACGGGGTCCATAAATGGGGGGGTACCCAATGGCTGGATGGTTAAGGGAAAATCCTATTAAAATGTGTAATATCATTATCATTAATTATACCTGTATAGTATTGTTACATGAGAAGATTGTCATTATATAGTCATATAGTAGTGAGTATTATGAGAAACATGATACATATATGTATAATAACACTGTTATTAAGATAGTGGATAACTATGTATGTCATAGTTGATGATGATACACCAATGATATACAGATATGTTATTTGTCATTGATATATATATAATCACATACATATATATATATACACACCTGTATGTATAAGGTATACAATAAGCCACGAAAGAGATTTCCCAGTTACATCTCATAAATTTTGTGGATATATATATATATACATATCTATATGTATGTTGTTGGTTAATCCCCCATGAGTTCCCCAAGAATTGAGACATTTGACATACCCTGTGTTGATTCGTGCCGCAAGGAGTCGATTCATACCTTCTTGGGATGATTTCTGGAGCTCATATGTTGGGGATGGGTGGTAAAACCAACAACCAACTATATGTGTTATAGTTACATACTGCATGTATCATAATAATATATGTATGTAATGTAATGCAATGTAATGCAATGTAATGCAATGCAATGTAATGCAATGTAATGCAATGTAATGCAATGTAATGCAATGTAATGCAATGTAATGCAATGCAATGCATGTATGTATGCATGTAATGTATGTATGTATTGTGTATTAATGTAATGCAATGCAATGCAATGTAGTGTCATGCAATGCATTGCATTGCAATCTAATGCAATGTAATGTAATGTATGTACAGATACTAGTTAATATTTGGAACTAAAAATATACTTTTATATAACTATAATGATAACTATAGATTATTCATAGTAATTATTTTTAAAGATACGTACATCATCCCACCATCCTTTGATCATACGCCTGTTCTGAGTATATCTTCATAGTTACTCTGTTAATATTATGGCTATATAGTTTTGACGGTCAATCAATCTATAGAAACTTTAAATGGTGATTGATGTGTTTTTTCTTGTGTATCTTCATGGTGATGTATGTTTTGCACCTTTTTAATTATTCAATATTATTCACTACCCTCTGGTCAACTAACATAACTATGGAAAATCCACCCATTTTTCATGGCTAAATCAACTATTTCTATGGTCATTTTCAAGTTCGCAAACTGTTAGTTTACCAGAGGGTAATTAACATGTTTCATATAGGGAAATGATCAACCATTTTCTGTAGCTATAGTTAAATTACCAGAGAGTTTACCAGAGGGTATGCATACTCATACTCATACTAAGCATGTCTAAAAGAATATTCTCTAAGCTTGGCCATGGAGATGGGGATGCCAGGGATGCCCACTGGCTAGACAGTAGAGTCTGTTGATTTCTGTGCCATGTTGGAATGTGTCTAAGGCATATATATATATTATCCATAATATAAATGTATTATACATATATTTTATAGAATAATATTTACATACATATACCCATAATATAACTGTATTATACATTTCTTAGAATATATATATATATATATTATGTATGTATATATATATACACTAAGAAACCATGATTGACCCTATTTCAACATTCCATGGAGGGTATTTCAGATTGGTGCTGGTGGCTTGGGATATATGGATGGTTTCATTTCTCGGGAGATCCACGGATTGATTTTTTCCGCTTAGGTTTAGCTGTTCAGACAACGACATAACCTCAGAATCTCTCATTTTTGTCCACTTTTTATTTTGGAAAGTAGTTCCAGCCATCTATGTGGATGGAAAGTATTTTATACTTTCCATACATATCATAAATTCTGTTTGTTCACGGCGATGACCATGTCCCAAGTGTCGGTCAGTTGTCAGTGTTTTCCAGGGCCAAGGTCACCTTCATCAAAACAGGTTGGTCCCTGACCCTTCGGTGCTCAAACATGGCATAGCCGGGAAGATCCCTGAACCAAACGAAGGTTTACAGCTGTGATTGTTCTTCGAATTGTTGCTGGTGGATTTTCCCGCACGCCATGTTTGATTACCGGATGGTGTTTTGGGAGGATCCCAAACTATCACGGGTGTGTGTGTGTATGTGTGTGCGTGTGTGGTGTTTTCTTTCGTTCGCCAACAAGTCAGGAGAAACAGGAGCTGGTAGCGGAAACTTGGTGCAAAGAGGGGCCTTCTGTTTTCAACCGGATGCCATTTCAGTGTTCACCAGTTTGAGAGGGTCGGTATTTCAGGCTGTATTTTGAAGGTCAGGTCACATCAATCAAAACACTGCAGGAGCAGCTTCCATCAAGACCATGTTGGGTCCAATTTTGACAAAAAATGAGACGTTGGGAAGCACAACTGGCTGAGAAGATGACGCCACAAAATGGCCCCAAAAATTGACTAGATCATCTAGATCCCATATCAAACCCAGGGGTTCTAGGTCCTAAAGGTTTTAAATTGGGTTGAAGGGTTTACATGCGTAAGAAACAGCAAGTTGTAACTGTTTTCCATGCTGAAAAAGCGTGGGCACACATGTGTCGTGAGGGTCAGCGACAAACTGGTGGATTTACATGTTTTTTGTTGCTGTGAACAACTGGGGCATATGATGAGAAACAAAACCCCCCCACATGGGGATGGGTGCAATGACTTATCCAAAATCCAACTGAACATCCATGACATTCATGGTGCCATAGTGTGCGCCTGGCGAAGAACTAGCTGCTGGCAACAGGACGTAAATAATTCCTCCATTCATGTTGAAAAGCAGAAATTGACTCATTTTCGTCCAAGATGGTCTTGAACGCACCCCCAAGCAGGAGGAAAATTCCTTCAACGATGTTTGAAACATGTTCAATGATGCGGATATGGTGGAAATGTACCATGATTTAACCAACAAATATTGTAAAATTGTGTTTCAATGGGGATATAATTAGATATAATATTTCCGTGTTACCTGGTTTTTTTTTTACTAGAACGACCTCAATGCTAGGTCACTTGAATGATAGATTTATGGGGAATCATTCCCACGTGGCCGAACTTGAATAGTCCCATTCCAATATTGTTGGGTTGCGAAGTACTGCGAAGCACTGGGCTGTTATTAAACATTCCGATCCAAATCCTATTCTGATATTCCATTGGTTGCGTTTTAGCTTTTATATTTAAATAATTATATATATATATAATGTATATATATATATACACATTATATATATTATATATATATGTATATTTAAAATCTGCCATGATATTCCCATGATGCACCTCCGATTCCCCAACAAAAACTTCCAGGAGCGACGCCTCTTGGAGGCTCAGAAGGACCAGGCCTCGCTGGCGGCGGAGGACAACGAGGCGTTCGCAGCGGCCCAAGAGGGGCTGCAGCGGCAACGGCAGGAGCAGCTCGGAACGATGGTTTCTATGGGAAAATCATCTACCCCATAGGATCCATGTATGGTATATATGCTAACATTGGGGTTATATTGATGGTAATTAAATGTTGCCATATATGGCATACATGGATCCTATGGGTACAAATGGTGGGTGTTCCGTGGGTTTTCCACATTTCTGTTAGTTTATACAGAAGGGGAGTAAAAGGATGTAAAAGGTAACTATCCCCAGATGGCCTGAAGTCTGGTTCAGAAATTATTTGAAATTACCGAGAAGAACTGATTTTGGATCGAAGTGGGGATTGATCGAGGATTAAGCAAGTGGAAATGGGATGTAATGCGATTTAATGGGGAGTTTGAATTTGGCATCTGGAATTGTGTTTGGGTACCCTCTGGTAAGTAAAAGTTTACTATTGTGTATAGATGGCACGTTTAGTTCGATGATTTTCCATAGGGAGCTGTTGAATTACGGGAGGGTTTAGACAATCATACATATCACATATATAATTTATAGATACTTGAAATATGAAGATATTACCCTTTGGTAAACTAACATAGCTATGGAAAATCACCATTTTCAATGGGAAAACAACTATAGATAAAAAAAAAAAAAAAACTATTTTGACATAACCAGAGGGTAGACCAAGCAGAATCTGAGGAGATTGAATTGAATTGAATTAATGATGGGATTCTTGATAGACGTCTACCACTGCGTTCAGGGCGTTTTTTGACCGACTGACCAGTCAGAAATGGACTGACTAAGCAGTGATAAATAGGGATAACATGTTTGATTTAATCAACAAACATATGGAGCGTACAACCTGGGGGATGGGCTTGTCAATGGGATAAGCAACAATACGATACGTTGTTCGTCCATTTTAATGGGAATGTGCCTGAGTGATGTTCTTGTTACCCCATGTGTTGGACAACTTTCATAGTCAAGGCCGGCTGAGGAAGTCCTCCGAAATTCTTCAATGATTAGATGACCCGCCAATACCTGTTAAGGATGGGGAATTGGCTTTGCCGCCTTTTGTCTACGGTAAGGTACTGCATTAGCCACATGAAACATGGATGTGCAGATACTGTATGGGATATGGTTGCGTTGATTACAGCTATTACCATCTTGAAATGTGTTTGGAGATACCGCTTGTTAACGTATCGTTTCACCAGCACATTTGGTGCAGACTCATATCCGTCTCTTTCAGGGATCGTCCTCAGTTGGTCTTCTCAGCTACTGCCGACTTCAACAAAAACAGCTTACTGGACAGAAGCTCGATATTTGGGGAACATTCAAATAGACAAAGAAATGGTACCTGGCTTTAAAAAAATGGTTTTTCAACATCCTTTCCAGCCATGTGCTTAGCGGCAGACGAGGCTGGCAGATCAGAGGGCTGACTTTGAGATGGCCATTGAGCAGATGCGTCTCAAGATGGAGAGGGAACAGGCAGGCTGAAGCCCTGGTGGATCTGTTGATACAATGTGAGGCCCCTGTTGGATAGCTAAGTTGGTTAACAAAAGCCCCAGTAACTATAGTTATATAAGTACCATAAACCATAGTGACATTGGAGTTATGTGCACCAACTTAGCTATCCAACGGGGGCCTCACATTGTAACTTTGGTGGTTTAGAAAATGACTCTAGGAGGGATGCGATGGATGTGTCTGAACATGGGCTAGCACCACCAAGAATTGCTTTTTTAATGGAGGAAAGAATTACCAAAAATAACTATTTAGGGCCGATTCCCTGTTTTCAGACAAACTCATAGCATGACTAGGAGGGTTTTGTTTTTTTGGGGGAGCTGAAGCCCCTAGCAGTTGTCCAGATGAGAAAGTCGATGCATTTTTATAGTCAGAGCAAGGCAAATCAAGGAAAATCAATGAGTGAGTCAGGTGAGCCCCTTTACCCTCTGGTAAACTAACATAACTATGGAAAATAACCATTTTTAATCGGTAAATCCACTATAAATCACCATTTTCATCTGGTCCTTCTAGTGTTGGTCCTTCGACGCACCGTATTTGATTTTCAGCAAACGGCATGCTTCCTGAGTCGGAGAATTCCAGTTGACATGTTTCTTGTTTTCTACAATGCATGCCCATGCCACTTTGATGTTCCTGGAAATTGCAAATGCTCCATTGTTGGGGTATGTGAATGTAGTGCGATAATAGACCGGTGCTGTTTGGGTTCATAGCCAGTTACAAACCTAATCATAAACCATCACAAACCATCATAAAGCCTTTGCTTAAACGGCCAAATTTGGGAAGTGAACTTAGTTTGTTCATGTTTGTTCTATCCCCCCAAAATTCAGTGAACTCTTCTGGAAACCTGGGTGAGTGAGTATTGTACCATATTGTAGCTGTTCATTTTAAGGACCCAGTATGCAATGGGGGTATGTTACCTTTAGGGTGAAAGATTTATTTTTCAATCCAAGATTTTTTCAGGAAAGCATCTTCCGCGAACGAGCGGAGATGGAAGAGGATGCAGAGCTCATTGCCACACAAAGAGCCGAGCTGCAGGCGAAGATGTTGGCGAGATTTGGCGAGGGTTGGGGCCGACACTTTTCATATTTTTTCCAGTGAAACAGATCCAGAAAATCTGGGATAGTGATTCTTACCTCATGGTTTCCAGTTGTCCAATCATTCTATCCATTTTTTGTTTGCTGTTCTATTGATATAGCAATAGTACATAATATGATATAATATATATATATAATATGATATATATATAATATGCAATTGATCAATGTTTATCATAGTTTATCCCTTTTGGGCTTCACCCCCTCAATAAACCAGCATTGACCTGCGATTCCTGTGAGGATGCGCATCTTTTGGGGGAAGAAACGTCTCCCCCGGGACCAAAATGGAAAAATTCACATCGAAGGAGGACAGGACACTGGTTAATTATGGTTACTTTTGCTTATGGTGTCTTAAACAATCTTAAATACCTATCATATCTTGTCATGATGTTACAAGATATTTCGGTGCAAGGCATGAGGCGTCCATGACCCCCGACATTGCGAGACGAACGCTTAGTTTTAAGGTCTTGGTCTTTGCTAACAAAAAAAAGAAAAAACACTATAGAATAAAACAACACAAGACATGTTGGTCTTTAATACCTAAAATATCCCAAGAAATCACATAGAAACTCATGCCAGAAAAATCCAAATGCACATGCGTGCTTGAGGCACAGAAATCCAAGGTTGCCGCCCTGGAAGCTGAAATCGAAGCTTGGCCGGTCGAAGCCCAGCCATGAATGATGGGGAAAGTCTTATGAATCGGATTCGATTGAGTATTTTTTTAAACGATTCTCCAGATGGATTTTTCTCGCCGAATTGACAGTTAACCAGTGAGGATGAGTGATAGCCAAAATGGGGACAGCTGCTTGACAAGCGTGGTTCTATGATGTACCCTCTGGTAAACTAACATAGCTATTGAAAATGGCCATTTATAGTGAGTTTTCCCATCAAACATGGCGATTTCCCATAGCTACGTTAAATTACCAGAGGGTACTGTGATTCATCCAGTAGTCTATGGGATGTCAGGGGAATATCAGGCGAAAAAAGGCCAGGACACACCTACAATCCAAGTACGGGGCGCGGGCCCAGGGGTCGGTATCCAGACAAGATCTGTCCCCCAAATGATTAAAATTTGGTCAATCACGGGCTGATGTTGTGTTGAGTTTGTAGTTGACTGGGCAATGTTTTTTTGCGGCAAAAAAAAAACAAGAAAACTCTCTCCGACTCTAACGAACAATTCCTGGACTCATATCACTCGGGGTATTTCTCGTTATGTCCAGTTTGGAGGGAACAATTCTCGAAGTATGTCACTGGCCGATGGACCTGTGCCCGTGCTACAGTCCCAAGATCAGTACCAGGGTTATGTGTGTACAAGATAATCACATGAGCAACCGACAAGATTATCGGAAAACTAAAGTAGTAGGGAGTGGACTTGGGATGTTCAAATTTGTGCGAAAACCTTCACAACCGATAGGGGGCCACCCACTTACCCATACCCTATTTTCATACATAGCATGGAAGTACACACCTTCACAACCGGTAGGGGACCACCCACTTTTGCCATGTCCATTGCGGGTAGTATATAGATATGTTTGTCCGCCACTCACATATATATATATAATTATATATATATATATAATATTATATAATATTAATTAATATTATAAATATAGATACTCGGATGATCCCGAATGTATACTCGCACATATTATACATGTATTTTGTAGATTTATAGATCTGTCAGGATGTTTGTGCAGCAATAACTATTCCTGTGGATCGGTCATGATAGGTCATTGAATGTTGAAACCACGAAATAGTGGGCCTTGGGCACTTCGGCGTTTCTCTAATTTGTTCTAACAGACGTCGTCTTTTCTGCACAGCATTTTTCAGTCACTACATCAATGAACAGGTTCGGATTCCTGACAATCAATATCCGATAGATGAAGCAAAAGAACCAAACGATGAGGTACACAAGAATCAGTGTTTCAACATGGATCCACAAACCACATCCAGAAACCAGAACATATGGTACTCGTTGAAGGGACCAAAGACTGGACTTTGATTTCTAGTTCATGGATTGAAACCTTGGCATTGCATCCAAAAAGGTGATTCTCCCAAATAGTCCCAGACGTCGAAAGCAATGGGTAAACATCCATTCCGGTTCCAGTTGTCGCAGTCGTTAGGACAAGCAGAGGGCAGAAGTTCAGGTGAACCAAGATCAATCACAACGTCAATTGGAGTGTCTGGGCCGAATAGCTGTTGTGTAAAACCTCTCAGCACAGAGATGTGCTGGCAGTTTTTTCTACTATGAATTCATGTTCTATGCTGCTCCAATGCATAGGCACAAGATATCCACTTTTGGGGAAGAATGGAAAACATGGTAACGTTATAGGGTTCACCATTTTTCAAGCTTAGGGTTGCTACCAAACAACCACAGTGTTGCTCCAACAAATCGTAGCCAAGAGGGGGGAAGTTGGTAGTTTTACCTCCTTACCTACAGCCACTTCCCCCTCCAAATGTCAGTGGGGTGGCGAGAGAGCAACCCTGACCTATGGAAGTTTAGGGAGAATCTGGCAGGAATTCCCATGGTTTGGTTAATTGGATTGCGCAAAACATCGGGAGCCCCATGATTTGTTCATGGTTTAAAACACATTTTACTCTACATTGACACATATTGAGTATAATCAACTCTTGGACAAACCAAAAAATCATGCATCCCCATTGAAAAGGACATATGACATATGATTGTATCCCACCGTCATGTTTGTTGCTTTACAGTATATAGATTCCATGTGAAATGAAGAAAAACAAAGATACCAGACGAGTGTCTCAAAAACTCAATGTTTTATTATAACAACGGGACATGTGGGTTTTATCAGTTTATTATAATTAATTTGGACAGCCATGTTCATTTCAGTATTAGTACTATCATATATATATATATATTTATTATATCATATATATATATATATCATTGGGGGGGTGTACCATCACGTTTCCAGACTTGTTTTTGGAGGAGCCATCCATATTTTATGTATATATATATATATGTATATATGTGTAGATCGTTTCATATCCCATAGGATCCATGTATGCCATATATGGTAACATTTACCATCAATATACCCCAAATGTTACCATATATGGCATACATGGATCCTATGGGTATGTTCATCATGTTGCATCAATGGAGGATCTCCGTTGCCCATCAATTTCCCATCCACAGAGTCTGCCACAGAGGTCACAGCGTTTGGAGATGAGTCAGCTGCGTGCTGAGAGTCTGTGCTGCGTTGGGGGTGCAGTTCATCAAAACAGGGGTGGTTGAAGCAACAAAACTGGGACCGGGATTTGTTCACGGCAAATTATACAAACAGTGGGTAAACACTTGGTGAGTTGGATAGTTGCATGCTTTATGTCTTTATGTCTTTGTTATGATGATGTTTTGATGGGAAGATATTTACACTATCCAGTGGTTTAGTTTTTGACAGCATCTAAGAATTGCCATCTCAAGGAATTTCCATTGACAAGACATGAATAGAAGTGGTGTCCCTGGCAATCCGATCGATTTATTGGTGAATTCCTGACATCCTTTGAGATCTTTGAGCGTTGACATAAGTGGTGGATCATCATCTGGGGACACTTTTTCCAACATGACGATTTGCAGATTCTCAATTCCGAGCCATAGTCCAAGGTAGCATAAGTTAGAAGAAACCAATCAATGGGAATTCCAGGATCCTAAAATGGAGGTACGTTAGTACCATATAAGGCTATATTTTGTGGGGATATTCCCTGAAATTTAGGCCTTATATATGGTAGGTACCTCCAATTTAGGTTCCTGAAATGGCCATTGAACCAATCATCGAGAAACCAACGTCACTTTCTGTGATTACATTGTTAATTTTTGTTATTGTTTCTCATAAGCCCAACTCAGTGCAGCAGAAAATCCAATGAAAATCTGATGGGCCACAAGACATGGAGACACACATATCAAATGTGAGCAGATACAGGGACCCAGAAATGTGAATGTGAAAGACAATGATGTCATTTCTCTAAGAACCAAGAGAGTTTCGGAGAGACTGCAAATCATCGGGATCTAACCGACCTAACCAGGCAATGTTTTAGCTGACCATTCGTGAAAAGGGGTTGCACTTGTTTGGTTGTATAATTTGTATAGGAATCATTCCACTTCACACACTTGGAGAATCCCCAGGAACCAACCCAGTGAATAAATCCGCAAGGGGCAAAACAGAATGTGTTGAAGTACCACCTGAAGGCAGACGCGCGAACAGACCCCATGAATCATGGAGCGAAGCTTCAGACTTTATTTGCTGATACACCTTGACACCTCGAAGTTTAAGCTTTGCCTTTGCTTTGGTCCCAAGCCTACCACGATCTACCACGGGCTAACATCCGCACTCTATCATTGAAATTCATACTTCCCAGGGTGTTCATCCCCTACCAAAGTGGTCCAGTACTGGACTCACTGCATAGTTCGCGGAAGGTCCATCCTTGGCCGGATCAAGTTTGAACCATCCTGTTTCAACCTCATTGCAAGAATATTATAAGTATCCTACGGTAAGCTAAGATAAATTTGGAACATTGCCCACTTATGGATGAAGTACCTCTTAAAATGGCTGATGTTCATTGATTTTCCACATCTATGTTAGTTTGCCCCAGGGTAACCATCTTTGACACCTCTTGTTTTGTTCGTCTCCGCATACCGTACCATAGGATCGACAAAGAGCGAGCAGACTTCAGCGAGAAGTGTAAGAAAGTCCAGCAGCAGCTGGCGACACAAAAGCGTCAATTGGCGTCCCTCGGACGGAGGAACAGGTGACGGGACACCAGCACAACAGTTTCGAAGAATCTTGGATTCACCCAATACATAAACCTAGCATGACTGGGGATGGTAAACAATATAAAACAATATCAACATCCCACCCATAAAAATGTGATGATGAACTGTTTGTTTGTTTGTTGTGTTTTGTTTTTAACCACATTTTGGTTGGTTGTCTATTCAATAACTGGGATGGTCCAAATGAGGCTGTGGCCTGGAGCTTTACTGGCAATGTGCAGGTCGTCAACGTCGTCAACCACTTCCCTATCACTGCTGTCATAACAAGTTGGGCAACTAAGAAAACCACAATGAACATCAATGAACATCAATGAACCACATATCAAGATAGTACGAAGTTGGGTATCATTTAACTTTCCAAGTTCTTTGTCTCCGTTTGTTTGTTTCGTTTGCCGGTCGCTTATCGGGTTCTCCCTGGTGGTGAAATCCCGTAAGGCAGGTGAAGAACAAATTGGTCGCCGAGAAGAACGCTCTCGAAGCAGAGAAAGCCAAATTCAATGTGCCTGGCCACGTGAAATGATGGAGTATATGTATAATATTATATGATTATATATGTATAATGTTTATATTATATATATATTATGTATATATATATTATGTGTATATTATATTAATCATTTATATATTAATTATGTATAGGTAGATTAGATCAGATTAGATTGGATCAGATTAGATTAGATAGATAGAGTGATAGAGTGATAGAGTGTGTTGTGCATTGTGTTTAAGATATTATTCATGGATGGTGTAAACACATATAAAAGTAATCATAATAATGATATCTGACAATAAGTCTTTCTAGTGATAGTAAATAACTGGGGAACTAGACTGACCAAGGGTAGTCTAGGTTCTTGATGGTTTTGCCGTTTTGATCCTATAGGATATATACATTATATATAGAGTAACCCGCTGAACATGAGTAAATGCAGGTATCTAAATTTGGCCAAGGAATTCATAGGATACATTGTATATATATATATACATAGATATACATATTGCGAAAAATAATGACGATAGTAGAATAAAGACACACGGTATCACAATAATGATACAAATAATATATAATCACAGGGTTGCCCCAACTTATTGTCGGTACATGATACGGTAGCCACAAGCAGGGTAATTTTTGTTTTTGGGGTTCACCTTTGTTGCACTGCACTTGGCTATAATGCTGGCTGTATCAAAGGGGGCACAAAATCGGTCATGTTTGGCACTGACTTAGCTTGCATTCATTCCCGGACTTGGTTCAAGAGCAGATTTACAGGGTCTATCCCTATGTTCGATGGTAATGACCATAGTGTTCTGGATTGCAGACTATCACTATTTGGGGTTAGCCCCCCTAGTCAATCGACCAAGGTTCATTAAAGCGGGGTTGACATTGTATGGGGTGTTTCAAAAAATGTAACCGCCCAAAAAGGATGGACTCCAAAAATTCCAGGGTTTATCGTCGTCCTGTACCAGGTTCTTCGATCCTTTTGAGGTGGTGAAGTGACCTCGATTTGGTGGTTGAAAAGGTCACTTTTAAAGAACCAGATATAGGTAGATGGATTTATATGGATTTAACATCACCTCATATTCAGACACACCTGAATATATATATATATATACACATACAGTTATGTGTATATGCACCCGAGGTCAAAACCTGTGAGGAAGCCACACAAACAGAAGCATCGCAGACCAGCTACTTGGCGCTGAGCACAGGCTGACCATTGGTTCTTAAGTGAGCCAGTAAGAAATACCCCTCTTGAATCCGTGTGATTGGTTTTAAAATTGGTTTTATAACACCAGGCTTTGTGGGACTATTTGATTACTTCAACCGATTGAAATGGGATATGATGTGATTTGTGTGGATAAAGTGAATAGTGAACCATATCTGACTTTCCATAGTTATCCGCATGCTTGCCTTGTCTTTTTCGTTTGAGTTGTAATTACGTAAAGCATTATCAAGCTAGCAAGTAGTGCGTTGAATATTGGATTGTCTAGGGGATTTGATGGAAAGAGCATCCAGAAGAAGATGACAGTGGGAGGCTCCAGGCGTTTATTGTGTCTATAAAGGCAACCACCCCAAAATGGGAATTTATGATATGCTTTTTTTTTCACCATTCTGATAAAGCAATAAAGCACTGAAACATTGAGGAAACATTCGACTGGAAGGATGTGGAACTGCAGCCCATACCCGAAAAAATGGATCCCAAAATCAGCGCCAAAGGCACGATGCTTTCCACGCTTTCTACACTCAAAGCCTTTTACCTATGTGTTTTTTTAATGCTTGTAAAATGGGGGTTATCATGTCATAAATGTCATAAATGGGGGTTTTGTTCCTGACTTATGACTGTTAAAGACTCCAATGTTTAACCACCTCAAATCATATCCCGAACGTGGCTGGGAAATCCCCGAAGCTGGAAAAATCCATCGAACTAAATATCTATAACCTATAGTAATAAGTATCTATAAATGATTGTCCATTGCCATAGTTGATAGTTCATGGATGTTCATGGTCCATTTTTGATGATTCTCTATCCATACAATTCCATACATAATTGAGGAACTTATTAATCCCCAAACTAAATGAAGGTTTCTAGCTGGGAAAATCATCGAACTAAATGGGCAGTTGTCCAGGTGCTGAGACCCAGACGGATGCAGTGGTAGTTGCACCTGCAAGCGCGCTGGAAGAAGCTGAGGAAGGCAACCAGGAGAGCACCTTGGCGCTAAAATGTTGCATTGTTGCTTGGGAAAACAGTTGAGTTGTTCTGTATTGTTTCGATTGAATATGATATAATATATTATAGATAGATATAGATAATATATATATATATATATTATTATTTATTTATTTATTCATTTATTGATTTATTTATTTATTTATTCATATGTGTTTTCAGAGTTTGAAGGACAAAGAACAAACCTAGCCCTGGGAACAATATCGTGTTTGTTGCTTGAACATACCATGTGTTTCTTGGTGCTTCAACATTCAATCCCCAAATGCTGGTGGTTCAATGGGGATCGAACCTTTTAAAGTAATCAATGACTCCGTGGTTCACATGGCTTTGATTTATGACCCGTACCCAATGTCCGACTTCAAGATGGCCCAGTAGGTCAAGTTGAACATTATATAGCTTCTTTTGATTGACGATTTGTACATATATTATAGATAGTTATGCATATATATATATATATACAGTATATATTATATTATGTATAATATTATATTATAAATACATATATAATATATATATATTATATTATATATATATATATATTCTATGTATATATATATATTTATTATTATTATTACTATTATTATTATGATATTTATTATTATTATATATTATTATTAGTAGTATTATTATTAATTATTATTATTATTGTTATTGTTGTTGTTATTATTATTGTTGTTAGTGTTATTGTTATTGTTATCATTATTATTTTTATTTATTATTATTATATATATATGAATCAACCAAGCCACTTTTTGATATTTTTCTTTGGTCATTTTGAGCATTTTGCCACCCATTCTTCGATATTGGACCCATACATTCCCTTGTTTATGTATATATTTATATACATACTTAATGATTCAATGGTTCCAGTACCAGTTCATAATTTCGCCACTTAGAACCACCCATGTTTGACATATATGATACTGTATCTTACAATTATAATGTTGACAATCAAAATCAAATCACAATCGAAGTGCTAACCAAGAAACATTGGGACATGTCTATCTTGTCTATTTGGTGTTGTGTCAACCCTCCCATCCTTGCTGGGCAGGCAGCGAGAACACAGATCCGTCGCCTGCGGAGGGCGGCAATGCGAAGTTCACGGCGCAGCATCTGGTGGCAACGGAACTCATGGAGCTCACGGCGAAGATTCAGGCGTTGCTGCAGGCGACTTGGACCCGCGCAAGCGGGTGTCAGAGTTTACATGGGGATTTCCCTGGACTAGATAGAGGTATTCATGGGAAAATCATGGTCGAAGGAAGTTTAGAAGTCAAACTGGACAAATATTGAAAAGCAGAGGTGGGAAGAGTCAGAGAAGAGAAGAGAAGAGAAGAAGAAAGAAGATCAAAAAAGAGAAAGTCTCAGAAGAAAGAAGATCCAGGTGCGCGAAAAGGAAAGTCACGAAACACTGTGTTTTTCCAATGATTTGTGGCTCCGGAGGGTCGAAAAGTAGGTTCGCTAAAGCGATGGGTGCGGAGCCAGCTGGCCAGATGAGAGATGAAAAATTGCACGCCATTGTGGCGCGAAGCACATGTCGAAGTCAAAATGCACAAAACACTTCACGGTCGGAGCACTTTTTGAAGTTGAGATGTCGAAAAAGTGTACGCTGTTGTGGCGCAAAGCACATTTCGAAGTCAACACATTAAAAAAACCAGGGGTTCCGTCCACTTTTGGACGTTCAGATGTCGTGTTGCGGGGCAGGCGCAGGGGATTGTGCACCTTGTCAAAAGTGAGCAAAACGGAGGGCTTTGTAGCATTTCCAAAAGCGATGGCAGGCGTGGGACATTTGAAGAGGATCTGCAAAGATGCATTTTCCGTGGCAGGCGCAGTGCAAGAGACATGTTCATCAGAGCTGTTAGGAGGTCCGGGCGCTGATTTCCTGAGAGGGGTTGCATTTTGGAGCATTAGATCTTCAGTTTTGGGAACATGATTTTGCGTGACAGGTGCAGCACTTCGTATGACCTGGCATCACTTTTTCGTGGCAGGCGCAGTACTTTAGACAGGTGGAGTGGAAAAATCGCAAAACGCATTGGCACGAGGCCGTCAGCTCTGCACTCACATTTCCATTTTTGAAGGAAGTCTCGCAGAATTGTTTCGTTTTTGATGTTGTCAACTTCGAAAAATGATAAAGTCTCGCAGAATTGTTTTGTTTTTGATGTTGTCAAGTGCAGTCTCGCTGTATGCTTAGGCAGCCCTTCCTTGCCATTTCCTATTGCTGCTGCGGGGAACTTGTGAACTTATATTGTAACTTATAACCATACTTATCTTGGGGTAAGTTATGATATAACCTGATATCTTACTATAAGTTCCTTAAACAAATCGTTAGTTAGTGAAAAGTTGTGTACTTATGAGTTAGTTAACGTTTTTATAAATGGAGCATGTCTAGAAGTTATTTGGGAGTTATGGAACTTAGCCTTTTCGTGCTTTTTGATATTTTTTTTTTACAAAGATGGTTTTTGCAAAAAAACAAGTATGTTTTGTGGTTTCGGCTCATGTATCGAAATCATCGATTTGGCTGATGATAGGCTATCCCATGGAGAGGCATATCCAAGCGTCACAGAGATTTTTGATAAGTATCCGCTCACTTCCGAGTGAGGCGGAAGTCGTTTAACATCCTGCGCGGACGCAGAGGTGCACAATGCGTGCGGATCAGCGCGGATGAGTTCGGAGAAAACGCATTAGTTAAGACATGCGTGCGGATGAGTGCGACATTCATGAAATGCTTGAAAAGATGTGAGTGCGGCGTGAGTGCGGCGTGAGTGCGGAGCTGATTTGGAAGCTTCTGGCCTTGTTGTGTGAGTGCGGATGCGTGCGAGTGAAAACCTCAGAAAACTCTGTTGAGTGCGGATGAGTGCGGAGTAAGTTTCCTTCTTGATTTTTCGCATGTTTTCTTCTTCTTTGCGCACAATTCATGTACGTATGCCACGACAACAATAAGTTGTGGCCCTTGCAATGACCAGCCGCAAATGTGGAATTTGAAAAAAAATAAAGGACCGGATGACCCCACAAGTCAACTTCTTCCAATATGTTGCAGCGGGAACGGGAAAGGAAGGAAAGACAAAGGAGGAGGTGGAGAAAAGATGGTGTGTGACAAAGTTGTGTGTGTGTGTGAAAGATGGTGTGGTGAAAGATGGTGTGTGAAAGATTGTCTGTGAGGGCGTGTGAAAGATGGTGTGTGACAAAGTTGTGCGTGAAAGATGATGTGTGTGAAAGATGGTGTATCAAAGATGTTGTGTGACAAAGTGTTGTGTCAAAGATGGTGTGTCAAAGATGGTGTGTGTAAGATGGTGTGTGAGAAAGCTGTGTGTGAAAGATGATGTGTGTGGTGTGTGAAAGATGGTGTGTCAAAGATGGTGTGTGACAAAGTGGTGTGTGAAAGATGGTGTGTCAAAGATGGTGTGTCAAAGATGGTGTGTGAAAGATGGTATGTGACAAAGTGGTGTGTGAAAGATGGTGTGTGAACAAGTGGTGTGAAAGATGGCGTGTGACAAAGTGGTGTGTGAAAGTTGTGTGTGAAAGATGGTGTGTGAAAGGTGGTGTGTGAAAGGTGGTGTGTGACAAAGTTGTGTGTGAAAGATGATGTGTTTGAAAGATGGTGTGTCAAAGATGGTGTGTGACAAAGTGGTGTGTGAAAGATCGTGTGTCAAAGATGGTGTGTGAAAGATGGTGTGTGTGTGCAAGGTAGTGTGTGTGAAAGTTGTGTGTGAAAGAGAGGGTGTGACAAAGTTGTGTGTGAAAGATGGTGTGTAAAAGATGGTGTGTCAAAGATGGTGTGTGAAACATGGTGTGTCACAAAGTGGTGTGAAAGATGGTGTGTGACAACGTGGTGTGACAAAGATGGTGTGTGAAAGATGGCGTGTGACAAAGTGGTGTGTCAAAGGTGGTGTGTGACAAAGTTGGTTGTGAAAGATGGTTTGTGAAAGATGGTGTGTGACAAAGTGGCGTGTCAAAGATGGTGTGAGAGCCAGCCCAGTGCCATAAGTGCCAAGCCTGCCACGCAAAGTGAAGGTCGATCTCGCGAAGCGCCACGCCTGCCACGCAAACGGCGGCGGCGACCACGGCGCGAAACTCAACCCAAGCGCGCCACTGGAGCCAGCCCAGTACAATAAGTGCCACGCCTGCCATCAAGAAAACTTACGCTATAACTACCGTAACTAACTTATAAGTTACACAAGTTCCCGGCGGCACCAAAGAGCATGTAGGCAGGCGTTTGCAAAAATCAATGCCGCTTCTGGGGGCATCCTCTGCGGGGCTACTAGGGGATCGGCTTGCCATTCTTGTATTCACCAAATCATCCAGAATACACCGGAGGCTGCGGAGAGTCGGGTGAGTTACGAGCTTGGGGAACCTGTTTGGGGCCATGATTTTGGCTCCAAGCATGGCAAGCCCACCGTGCTGACACGGCAGCACTTCGGGCACCGCACGTCTTGGGTGGAAGGCATGCCAGGGTCATTGTGGCAATAATCGTATCATATATTTAAAAAAAGCCCTTCTTCAGAGAAACCAAATTTGCAATTCAACCGCGATGGCGGCGGTGAAACCATCAACTTGGGGAATACGTGGTGGCTCATTGGGAAAAAACAAAAACAGATCTTGAACATCTTTTGTGAAACGGTAA